ATCTATTGAGTATATTTGAAGCAGAGTGTACGAGAAACTGACAACGTAAGCTGCTAGAAAAGGGAAAGAAATTTGTAGTCCGAATCCTATGGTCTATGGTATTTAAAGAGCCGTGATCAGTTTTGAACTTTCAAGAATGTCACTTATGATTTTCAAAAATTTGTATGTAACGTCCAGATAATTAAAGGTTCACAGATATTTTTGTTTGATGAGAACTTATGATTCTGATTCCTTAGATTAAGACCGTACTATCTTTGGCGGTCGCGTTGCTTTGGCTCCTTTGCTGAAATTCAGCGTAAAACAGACAGCCTGAAGCCTATACCCGCGACAGGGTTTCGGTTCTCCAAGCCATTACTCCGTCTGAGTTATAATTTGCCTTAATGCTATGAACCAAATGTGGGGTCTTTTGGTGAATATTAACGGGTCCAACCGAGGAGCCCCACATACGCCTCCGACTGATCTTCTTTAAGGGTAGAAACTAATGACAAAGGCATCACACTTGACGTGACGAATTGTCATGCATATCTTTAAATTTTTGTGCACTTGGAGAAATATATACTTAATTGTGAGTTCTTTAGTTATAAATGTCACAGGCAAAATGTATAATATGTCCGCTTACAAATTACAGGAAGCAGATTGTAGATAGTCGTAATTTTATGAAATCTTTTGTAATATTAGAAGCGCATACTATAATTTGGAGCGCCTTTTTCTCGTTTTATATTAGGTTGGGTTCATGTTTTATAAAATGCCGAAGCCGTTTGTAAAAGGACATACATATTTTATAAATTGCCTACGACCGATACATAAGGAATGTTTTGTCATATAAATTAAAGTTAATCTAGGCACAATATTTGAAGAGAGCCTTCCTAAAGTAAAAGGCTTCAAAGAACTGCATAAGTTGTTTTTATGCTTGAAAATGTTAATTTCAAAAATGGTATGAAAGTGTGGCGGAAAAAGGATTAAGGTTTTTTTTTTGAAACATGAAAAATTAAGCAATAAAGTAATCAGAAATATGCGGTTTTTTGTAAATCTTATAGAACTCGTATGGATCTGCAAATATACAAATTTCAAAGATCGTATATATAACTGAAAACTCACGATCTTGGTAATGATCAAGATTATTAGTTTTTGTTTTCTTAAAAATAGTATACATTATAGGCTTTACTCCAAAAGGCGCTTAACTAATTTCACCATTAACTGTATATTTTTCTTACATCTATATGATAACCAACATAATTTTTTGGCTTTAATGACACCATAAATTACTGCACTTAATTAATTTAAATATAATGGACTACTTATGTCTCTCGACTGGACTAATCTACTTATGTTTCTTGAGGCAAAGTTTTTTTTTCCAATTTGAAAGGTCAAACGAGCAGACGGCCTACTCGATGGTAAGTAGTCTCCGTTGCCCATGGATATCCGCAACATCTCTGTTGCGGATGCGTTGCCAACCCTAGGTGTTGAGGAAGAGTGGGAATTAGGAAAGGGCTGGAAAAGGTGGGAACAGGGTAACCACCTCTCACTCATCGGAAGAAATGCAGTCATTAATGACTACTTCACGCTGATTAAGCTGTAGTTACTTGACCACATATGGGCTTTCCCACCTACAAAATAGTGATATGATAACAATGTACAAGTAACGGACAAAGTAATATTTAAAAAAAAGTCAATCCATCAAACACAAAAGCTTTAAAAATAAATGATTAAAAAATCCTGTATAATAACTAATGCTGTTAAAAGTTATTAACTTCATATTTATAGATTAATGAACACACAATAGTTAGATGTGTACTTTAAGACGAGACTTGGCCAGTCTTGGTCTTGGTCTTGCATCAACACACCTGGTCTTGATATTGCACTCCCAGTCTTGGCCTTGGTCTTGTTCTTGCAGGAAGAATTTTGCAAGTCTTGCAATTACCTATTAGCCTGTCGCTATTTATTAAACATTGCTTTAGATATTGGAACAATGTAACATAATAGGTACATTTTAGATACAGACCAAGGAAATAAATAAATTTCAAAATATTTCATGAGAAATTCAAAAAATCAACTGATATCGGTTGGGGTTTGAACCCATTAGCTAAGCGATCAGTGCCAATGCTCTAACTAACCAACTGAGCTATCAACTGTGTTCGGCGGGAGTCTGTTTCTTAATAAACGTTTACATTTAATAATCTGCAATGTACTTAAACATGGTTTAAACATATAAAACACAAATTAATGAAAGTGACAATATACAGTTGATTCATGTAAACAATGTACAATGAGTTTACTTGTAAATAAATGTTTGCAAAAATATATTGTGATGCAACAGTAAATACTTATATTAATTTAAACAGTTTTCTCATATAAAATTATACTAGTAAAGCCGGTGAACTCCGTTTCGCCACCAGAAGGCTTTTATATAACATTTCGTTTGGCGATTAAAAGATGATTTTTTTTGTTTTATATTTGAAGAGGAAAATTTTTATTTCATTTTACAACAGTAATGAATTCATTTCTTCGTCCTTTGTAAACCACATTTTTTGTTTTTTGGTCTAACTTTAACACAAATAAAGCGAATGGTTTCCAAACTTGTGAACACGCAAAATATAACGCCCATGTGAAAAACAATGATTTTCTAAATTTAGCCCGCAAATACTAAATGGTTTTAAGGGTTCAAACTACAAACACAACACCAGTTTGTCGCATGAAAATTAACTGAGCAGAGAACAATGAGTAGCTGTCAAACAATGTATCATGCACCGGCACCATCCACTTAAAATATTGATATGTAGTACATGTTATGTATGATGGCGCTGTATGTGACAAAAGATTTTCCTGCTTTTCTGTTGAAATTTTTTGTTATAAACCTCACGGAGCCCGAGACCTTTCCAACGAATACAAAACCGTGGAAACTGGTTCGTTCGTTCTGAACTTATAGCGTCAGGATAGAAAACCGGACTTAATTTTATATAGTAGATCTCTTACAAATATGTAATTGTCAATATTGCGTCATTACATATGTCATTATACGTCAATTGCATAGCTGTCAATTGTGTTTCGTTATTCCACGTTTTACAGTGACTGACGTTTCATCTCAAGTCCCACAAGTCCCACGGGAATGCTGTCGAACGGGATAAAAAGTATCCTATTGCATTTTTCTGGCTCTAAACTACCTCCCTGAAAATTTTCAGCTTAATCGGTTCAGCCGTTCTTGAGTTATAAGTGGAGTAACTAACACGTCTTTCTGTTATATATATATATATATATATATATATATATATATATATATATATATATATATATATATATATATATATATATATATATATATATAGATTTTCGCTCCCAAACAGTACACAAATCTCATAGCAAACTTTTTATATTATTTGATTACTATTATAATTTTTTTTTACAATTTGGAAGTGTATTAAAAGTGTCTACAATATTTATTAAATGTGTGGCTTTGTGTTCTAAAACTGATCAGTATAATGTATTCATGTCCATTCTAAGCAACCGAAAACTTATTTTATTGTTTGGGACACTTGTACTCTGTTGCAGCAATCAAACATAGTAAAATATTGTGCGCGCATATCTTGACCTTGTGTTTCCGAATAGTTGTAAAATTTCTATGAGGTCTACTGACCTAAGTCGGATCGTTTTTTATAGTGCCTTGTGTTCGTAATTTGCAACAACAATTTTCTAAAAATAACCATATATTTTTACGTTGCATAGAATCCCTAAGCGTATACCCTGAACTCCTATACTTACTCCGTGAATCTATCCTCACTCCTAATTGCAAGACGCAAGAGTCTTGCAGGCTGGATGTCTTGTTCTTGCTTGAATCTTGCATAGTCAGTCTTGGTGTCGCTATAATTACCCGGTCTTGGTCTTGGTATTGCAAAAATGCAAGACCGATTTTGGTTATCTTTATTTATTGAATTATGCTAAAAGAGGTTATCTGGAGGGCATAAGATCGTACTTATTTAAAATCGATGACCATCAAAATGTTATAGATCATTTTTCAATTGATTCGATCGTACTTTATACAGTAATTCTTATATTGACAAAAAAAATCCTCAATAGGTATGACTCACTAGCGGTGTATTAAGTATATTTGAAAAATTGAGTAACAATAGTGAATTTGGTTTATAAGGTTTGTCTTAATATATATATATATATACAGGGTGACTGGTGAATTACTATCAATATTTAAGGAGCATACTCGGTACATGATTCTCATTCGAATTATGTAAAAAAAATAGGTACTTAATTTTTCATCCAATTTCCGTATAAATAAATAAAGTGTGTACACGTTCCAAGTGTTCCAAGTGTGAACGCGTGCGGCGGCGTGCTGATACAACACTACGCCGCGTCTGTGTGAGTGTGTGTGTATATCTAATCTGTAGGGTGTTCATACGATGCGTAATTAATTACATAACTTTTGATTAACTTTACTTAGAAGTTTATTAATATTTACGTTATATTAATTTTTATTTTGTCATATATGATCGTCAAATATCACGTCCTCAAATATCGATAGTAATTCACCAGTCACCCTGTATATATATATATATATATATTTTCTTAAATATACCTTTTGAGTAAATAAATAATTAAAAATGGTTAATTCTGTATAGCACTTCTTTATTTTCGGTTAACTTAGGCTTCTAATTTTAATTCCAAATTATTTTCTTGTAAGATATTGAAAAAATATATTCCCTTTTGTGTTATCATGATTATGAAAACAAATTTTTTCTTTTAATTTTTCAAAGGACGGTGAATTTTGTTAAAAACTGAATGTAGCGTAAGTATATTTTTTTTAACCACAAGGCAGTATGCTCAAGAGTGGTTTGTAACTTAAATATGTTTCAACTTAGGCGTTAAATATGAATAATTTATATAGATTTGCAGAACCGTATATTTTCCAGTCAATTATAAAAAAAACAATAGATTTTTATGCTCAGAATTATTTATTTATGGAAGGATCACTGGTGAATCTTTCAATATCATTGTTAACGTGATTGTTTAAGGAGGTCAGCAAGCTTTTCGGCAAGTACCATGACAGCAGCGTTTATGTTACTGGAAACTATATTCGGCATGGCACTGGCATCGCCTACTCGCAGTCTTCCCACACCTCGCACTCTCAATTGAGAATCTAATACGGAACCCATTGGACATGTGCTACTGTAATGGAATGTAGTGTCCATCATATTGAGAACATAACACTTCCAATATTCTCTAGTGTTCAGCTCTAGGTGCGAACAATTCGGTAAACGTGGGTGTAGAGTCTCTCCTCCAACACTCTTGAAGTAATTAGACTGTACGACTCTTATAAAGTCTTCGATATAACGAGCGCTGTTTTCCAGATCAGTTTTATTAGAAAGAAAACCGGTATAGATCACGGGTGGGTCGTTAGGGTCTGAGCTCTTTAGTAAAACTCTTCCAGTGGATACTGGACGACCGACAGTAAGTATAGAAACTAAAATCTCTCTTCCTTCACCAGCTTTCATTATCTGATTACATACGTCTTGGTGTAAACCGAATACAACGGAACAAAGTTGACTCAAACACTGTGGATTATTTCTACAAATTAGATTTAACGTCAGATAATCTGGCTTTTTCTGGTTTGGGTCAACTGATCCTAAACCTACAAAAGTATCTAGAGGAAATTCATTCAGACTTGGGGCAGATGGAGTTTCATTAGTTTTTTCTAATCCATGAGCAAGAACGACAGCTAAATGATCTTGTAAATTTTCTCCAACTGGTAGATCTGAAATTACCTTAATGCCAAAACTTTCAAGTTCAGCTCGAGGACCTATGCCCGATAGTTTTAACAATTTAGGCGTATTGAAAGCCCCGGCAGATATGATGACTTCCTTTCGAGCGAAAACTTTGAACACTCTTCCGTCTGCCGAAGCACATTCAACACCGATAGCATTATTATCGGAATCAAATAAAATTCTGTTAGCTGATGTATTCTTTACCAGATGAAGATTATTTCGAGACTTTGCCCTCGTTAAAAAGCCTTCGGCACTACTTTGTCGCTTCTTTTCAGCAATGAAAAACAAAGGTTGAGTAAATCCTTTGATATGGTTGCCGTGAATATCAACGACAACTGGATGTCCAACTTCTTTGAATGCTTGTAAATATTTTTCTGGTAATTCTGTTACACGTCTCGTAATACCGACCTCTCCGTTGTATCCATGAACTTTACCAAAGTCTGAATCGCTGATTTCCTTGTCCTCGAGTCGTTCACTTTTCTTAAAATAAGGTAAGAGGTTTTCTAAGGACCACGATTCATTGCCGCTAGCTTTCACCCAGTCTTCAAAGTCACCGGCATCTCCCCTGAGGTAATAGAAGTGGTGAAGGCTGCTGCTTCCACCGAGTACTTTTCCCGACGGTAAATCAACAAATTTATTTCTATGATACTGAGCACTGTAGCCATCATCTACAGCCGTATAATTCCAGTCAATTTTAGTTTTTGGCAATGAAAAGAATACCCCGGGTAACTGAAAATAAAATATCATTATTAATTATTATACTACGTATTCGCCAAATATACATTACAAAGATTTTTTGTGTCTGAAGTATCTTCTGAATCTTTTTAGAAGCTACATTTAAACAAAGTATCATATCTGTCGAATTGTGAAATCGTTATATTCCTTTCACCTATTACTAAGAGCACAACGACAAAGATATAAAAAAAGAGATGTAATACTCGTGAAACTTAGGAAGTTTGTTAAATATAATTGTGAGAGCTTATAAAACTGCAATGATTTTAATTACTTCTGCATCCGTTGGGGGATCATCGCCAGCTTCAACCATCACGACATCGACATTAGAATCTTCTGTTAGACGATAACCAATTATACTTCCTGCCGTACCAGCTCCTACCACTACATAGTCAGCGGTGAATTCTCCGTCATCTATGTAAAAATACCACATAAAACAATAGTTAATCAAATTGATACTGTATTAGGTACATATATAATTTATAAGAATTTACTTGGAATAAACGTATCAGAAGGCCATTTGTCAGCGGTAAGTCCTAAAGCAGACAATAAAAGCAGGGCATTGATCCTATAAAAGTTGCCCATTGCTCTCGATAACTGCCTTTCGTATCAGAAACCTGGAAAAAATATAAGGCGTTTCTTTGAAAACCATCATTTATGTTTGTGAGTTGGTATAGTGAGACGGTAATAGGTAATTATGCTTGCAAAAGTGATAATTTTTTTTTTTAATAAAAAACTGGTATGAAAAATTTATAGTAATTTAAAATTCTCCTGAAAGTGAGTGTTTTTTTAAAGGCTAGTTCTGTAACGCATAACTACTTTAAATGTTTAGTTTTAAATTTCGGGTGTCGATGTTCTATAGATTCAACGATCATTTTGTACTTAATTTATTAAACATGTTAAGTAGTGACTTTCTTTAAATAAAATGGCGATAAAGGCGGTAAAAAATGAAGATTTAGAAAAGTATAATTTAATAAAATATTAAATACTAAAGGTTTAACCTTTCTGAAAATACTGAAGCTTTATGCTTTTAAACAAAACGCAACACATAAATGTACTTACATTTTCCTACATGTGAAATTGGTTTTTGCATATATAAAAAAACTATCAATTATCCACATGAAACAAAACTACTTTAAAAAATAATAAAAATATATTTTATTTTTAACTACGAAGATTAATTATTGTTATATATTAACCTTACCTGAAAAATTTACTTTTAAAATAATAAACCAAACTAAAAGACTCTAATTTTTTTTAAGTTAATAATAAATTTAATATTATGATGGTATCAAATATTTTTGCATCTGATTGATATTTTTTACAAGCTTTGAGTCTGAGTTGATATTTTAAATTATACTTTTACTTTCAAAACTCTTAAAAGCAACCGTGTAAAATATATAATTAATAAAAAAAATGTATTGTATCTTACCTCTCGCCTCGACCAGTAACTTCAGACTACACTTAATGTCACAGTCGGTCATCCTTAAATATTATTCTGGTGCTGACTGCACTTTTTGATACATGAAGATAACAAACATTTACTAGCACTGTCCTACGGCTACGCTTGAACAATATTCTCTTTGCATACCTACTTATCTCAAATGTGATAAAAATTATATAGAAACAAACATACACAGTGCAAATTACTGTTCTAAATATTTAAGAACTCAGTATAAAAAAATAACGTCTATTACTTTTTTATTTAATGTTTTAGACCTTAAATCTTCCTGTTATACGCATTTGTGTCATCAACTTACGTAACAAACTCCTTCTTTGGAATATCAACTCTTTTAACAGGTCATTTACTTAGTCCAAAATTTAAAAGCCAGTCAAAGCCAACACTAATAATAATAATATAATTTTATGAATACAAATTTAATATCTAAAATTTTTGTAGGTATATATCAAACACTTTTTTTTTATTGAATTTCAATCTGATATTTCTATGGTTTATAGATATAATCTTAATGAGTCCAAAAAAACCTGTCTAAAAACAGATAAGAATATAATTATTTTATGACAAATTAGTTTTTTCTAGAATATATTTTATGTAATTCTTTTCCTAATAAAGTATGAAAAATTGTACAATATCTTAGCGTTTGACAATGCCAAAACTTAATAATATTTTGCATACTGCACGCAGAGAATTTTGTCTAAAGTGCACATACTTATGTCTAAAGTGTAAATAAAAAAGTAAAACTCATGACCAAGTGTTTTTTGAAACAATAATTTCATGGCTAAGCCGCATCAACCTTCACATTCTGTTAATTCAAAATTTGAATTAAAACCTTCTATTTACATTGCAAGCATCAAGTTACATCATTATGATATTTTTTTTTTATGTAAAGAAACCTACCTACCTACAAGACAATAATAACTTTTATGTATTTTTAATAACCTTAAAGTAAAAGAATATAAAAAGAGTATACTTATATGTCATACTAGCTTTTGCCGCGGCTTCGTCCGCGTGGAATAGTGACTTCCGACAGATTTTTGGTTCTTCCCACATAGTTCCCGATCTTGCGGGGTTTTCGGAATGGTAGAGTTCCCGTAGAATTTTCAGGATAAAACCTATGTTTTTTTTATTCACAATGAAGTACTCTTAACCAACAACATATTTATTTATTTATTTGAATAAAGATTAATATTATTATGTTGATACAACTTAAACAAATTATTTCGACAAAAACGGTTTTTGTGAGTTAATCTTAAAATATAGACATATACTGTCCTGGACTGTTTTTTAGATCATTAAAAGAGCTATTATTCTTTAACACATATTTTTTGTGTATCTTGAACCGTTTTGACGGCGCACGCAATGGAAGGCTTCAAAGATGAAATAATTTCTCCCGTTTTTTACACATTTACCACTATATCTTTGCTCCTATTGGTCGTAGCGTGATGTTATAAAGCCTACAGCCTTCCTCGATAACTGGACTATCCAACACAAAAAGAATTATTCAATTCGAACCAGTACTTTCGGACATTAGCGCGTTCAAACAAACAAACTCTTCAGCTTTATAATATTAGTATAGATGTTTTTTCTACAGATAATTTTCGAGTCTCGTTAAATGAGGTTATATACCAAATCAAGATGTCCTTAGTGATTTTGTTCTTCGTTACTCGGTTAAGATGCTGAGTTTGATTCCATGATAATTTTTATTTAACTCAGCCGCAATCAAAATCACCGTCTTTCTACATGGTGTCTTGCTGTAGCCCTACACCTTCTTATTTGTTAAATAATGATACTAAACCTTAACTTTCTCTAATGACGACCTTAAAAATGTTTTTGGATAATTTAATTGAAACGTCAAATTACATAAAAATTCCATTGTAAATACTTTACATAACATTACATGAATCATGACCTAAGCGACAATATGTTCCATGGTCGATCGGAGACGATAATTTAATGACTTCGAAAGATAAAGAAAGTTGGAAAGATAAAGATTTTAATGCTGTATTTTTGATGTGGAGATTAGATGTGTAATAGGATAACACACAAACAAATAGAAGGTTAAAGTGGTTATTTATTTAAATTTAATATAGTTATGAATTCATTTAGGTACTATATCATAGTCACGTGGGGAGGTATGACGCATCCTGCAGTAAAGCCGCTTTTTAGTGTTTTGTCATAGGAAATTAGAATAAAACATATTTGAAAATAATTAATAGACCCGTTGTTTTCGAATTATCAATTCGATAAAAATTAATCCGTTGACATACGACAGCGATCGCTGCGTTCACTGCGTACTTGTACTACTTAGGTACATAGGTATGTGAACCTAAAATTCTGTCTTCCTTCGCCTTTCACTCACTATTATAAAAACGCCATCAGTTCTATCACAATACCAAAACACATTTTCTGTGGCTTTCGAGATACTACAAAAATATTGGCTCATACTCATATAAGTGGTTTAAAACTACACATAGCTAAAACATAGTCTCAAGTGAAGATCGATGCTCATTCTTTATAATTCGTGTTTCATTTATCATATCGACAAAATTGACTACTAATAAGAAAATTAAAAGATCCTCAAAAAGTACAACATAGGATTCAGTTATTTATTGAAGGAAATTTCCAATATGCAATCAATGTATTATCTATATTCTATAAGTAAGGTCCTTAAATTAATTATTTTTATATTTATTGCTTCGAGTTATTTTTACTTTTTTGCAGTCAGTGCCTTGTTTAAACCACAGAACCTACTTGTAGGTATCTTTCCTTTAGATTGTTAATTTTAAAAATAACAACTGGCTGTTATTAATTCTACGTTGACTCATCATTACTTTTTAGATGCCATTTCTGTGCCTAAAACGTGGATTCGATGCTGATAGGTAGCCACATCTATCACTTGTGTCACACATCTTCAAACGAAATATTGTATAGTTTTTTATTCTTATAACTGAACTAAATCACTACTTTCCTTAAAATTCTTTCAAAGTATGTACTTTGCAGGTGAGTGTCAACCAAAAAAAAATCAAATAATAACAATAATAAGTATTAGAATCAGTATTTAAGTATATTTTGGACACTATATTGAAATATTTGAAGATATTTGGAAGAATTAACATATTTCGTAGTTTATTCTGGATACACTAAAAGATTATTCATTTCATAGATGAACAAAAATATTCAGTTTTTTTTTTGTTTTATTGTTCCAATGGTTTCAAACAACATTCAAATTTGATTATATTAAATAAGGGAAAAGGGTAGGTACAAGGACTTTACTCTTTATATATCCCACTATTGCTATAATAAATATTTTACTCATGATATTATATCGCGTGTAGTAATGTAGGGACGTATAAAGTGCAAAGGCGTTTAATAAAATAAAACAAGTGATAAACTTCGAAATTTTCTTTAATTAATAATTTAAAGCTGACGGGAGACATTTTTGTTATTACTGTGAGCGCAAAACCGTAGTGTGCGCCTGAGAACATAATAGGGGGTAATGTTTACAAACAGAAATTTCACCTCATCAGAACAAAAAACGCATCAACGCGACATCTTATGCACACGCTATCAAAAGAAAAAGTATCTATCAAACTCATTACATGATTGCCGTCAGGCACAGACTATATAAAACGTCAAAAAGAAATGCTCAATGTTGAAATTATTTAATGACTTCGAAGGGCACGTGCTTGAACTATGATGATTCGAACGTTTGAGCTGTCGATACAATCACTGGACGGCAAAACACTAATCTATTGTAGGTAGTGTACCTTTAAAAACAATTGACATTTTCGCAGCTCAAGGTATGTCCAAAGTAAAGGGGTGGAGGGGAGGGGGGTTAACAAAACCAAGTGAAAATCATACACATTAGTATATCACTTGTGCGAATTTAAACTCTCAAACGATCGTCTATCAAATTCATCCTTCACACAAATGTATACATGTAAATACAAGTAAATGACAATATATTTATTTCAACGTAAATCTTTCCTCTTCATCAAGAAAATGACGTAGTAACAAAATGCTTACAAACACAACCGTAAAAATGCATATTCATATACTCTTTGTCACACATACGACCATACAAACTCATTCATACAATGTCAAACGTCCAACTCCGTTACAGAACCGTTTAGAGGTCTATGTCAGTAGTGATACAATAAGGACGTGGAGATTTAGAACAAGTATTACCCTTATGTATCGAAATACTGTATCCAAATTTCTTACCATTTTAAAAGGGAGCCAAACAGGATCAAACAAAAACTCACAACGGCTGTGTCGTAAAATCTAAGCTAAAACTTTTAATAATTATAAAGAAATACATCAAACATTGACCCTTGCACGGCTACTACCTTTGACAACGTTTAGTGTGTCGCGAGTACGTTTGAAGTCATCATTAACTTGCCATTACTTAACATTAACATCTTTCACACAATAATAATGTTTAACATCTAATTATTAGGTATTGAACATATGTATGGGGAATTCAACAGCAGCGCACTCTCTTATGGACATCAGTCTCTTCGATATTGTTTGAAAAGCTTCATCAAGCACTTCCGTTTTGAACATTTGGATGTCTGTTGATAACTACATATAAAAATCTATTACCGTCATATCCAGTCGAGTACATAAAACATTTATAATCAACAAAATTAATTTATCATTCCTATAATTCAAATTGATCAATGTATTAATTTGTCTACATGATTACTACTCTTTAGTAAAAATGGCAGTGTTCACTATATAAAAAAGCCTCTGAATCATTTTTTTATTATTTCTTGGATTAAAATATATGCTGTTTCTTTGTAAACCAATTAAAGAAGAAAAATCACACTAAATAATGCTTAGTAATTGCAAGCTGATAAAAAGTTATCTTCCTGACGTAATAATCTTACAGTTTATTTTTCATGCATCTGATTAAAAAAAAACTATCAACTGAACACACACCAATAAAATGACGTCATAATATAATATAATGATGCAAGTCGATCCAAATACGTCTACCTCACGACTGTGATAAGACAATAATAAATGATTAGGGCACTACAGTCACATAGAATTTTTTGGGTTCAACACCTGAATACAGAGGTTAAGCCTTTCAGACCGATCATAATAAAATATTAGAATCCTCAGTTATCTTCACTGACTTCAAACTAACTCAAATAAAGACGGGCGACGTCACTTCTCGCAGAGAATATCACTACGCACAATTTTAGACGAATTGATGACGTCACTTCCAATTTTAACTTGACATCGTGTTTTGTGGCGTCACTTTCCTGGTATATATAGGGGTGACCGCGGGGGGTGCATCAGTTGCGCACGGGCGGCGCTGGGGAGTGGTGATGCCGTTCGAGGTCCTCCAGAGATAGCGCGTTGGGTACATGCACAGAGGGTAGCTTACCGGCGGAAGCTCGGGCGAGCAGCTCCGGGGAGAACCATCTAGCTAGCTGGTTGTCACCACCACCGGCGCCGCCACCCATCTCTAACAAGACATACATATTTAACACTATTCTCATATCGAGATAGTTTTACGGACATCTGACAGCATAAAACTATATAGTCGGGATTTTTTAAAGTTAGTGATTCTGTGCCCATGGGAATATAAAATATATTTATTCATTATAATTTGACGTACCATTCAAAGATCTCTGATGAGATTGTACGAGCAACTGATGCAGTGTTGTACCGCGAGCCATGCCGCCCATACCTCCCATGTTGCCCATTCCGCTCATGTTATTAAGCTGCATAGAAAATATTAATTATAAGTAAAACACGATTTTTGTTAACGAATTAAGTATCAAGTGTTAAACTTACAGAATTTGTAACCTGTCTAGGTTGCTGATGTGTGAAGGCACGATTGGCATTTGATATTTGCTGAAAATATTAAACATAATACATAATATTATATTTATTATAAGTCGAAGGTATTTATTAACAGCAAGTGAAGCTCACCTTCACTATAAAAAGATTACATTAAGGACTTACAATATTTTAATAGAATTAATTAGATCTTTAAAGCTATAAAAACCTGTTGTTGTTGATTAATGTAGTGCTGTTGATAATCCTGCTGCGAGGGCGCATATACCATTGGAGCTGTTCCACTTTGATTGCCCTGCAATATAAAGTTTATGTTTAACATCTTTATATATATAATTCTTCTGTGAGTGTGTATGTCACTGAACTTCTCTCAAACGACTGGACCGATTTTGATGAATTTTTTTGTGTGTGTTCAAGGGGATCTGGAAATGGTTTAGATTCACAATTTTGTCCGCTGGTCAATGTTTTTTTAATTTATTAGTAGTTGTTGATATAAACGTTTTTTTTGACATAAGATTTGACAACTAACTAATATGTCAATCATTCTGTCGCATTTCAAAACATGGAGATTTATGGCTTTAATAGGTAAACTCCAAAAATATAAATAAAAAAACGTAACAGATATTTCTTGATTATAGGGCGATACGAAGTTCGCCGGGTCTTCTAGTATTATATATAAATCTACATAATATAAATAGACTATGCCTCCACAGACCTTCACTATAGGTCTTCCATGTGGCTTTGCATGTGTGATCCCGTGCCAGCCGGCTCCTTTAGGGCTGCCACCCTCCTCCTTATCAGCAGCAGCGGACATTTTTCTTAAAACCTGTGGTGTATATATTAAATAGTTTTCAATGACAATCAATGCTATCTAAGAAATAAAATTGTACAAAGATTTTTTCTACCGAAAAATCATAGCCCAATTAAGTTCAATAATTCTTTATTAAGTATCAGCCAATAACCTTGTTGCTAATTAGCGGTCCTTTAAATTTCTTATAAATGTTCTGGACCAAAATTTTTTTTTATTTATAATGTAAGTAAATGCTGAATAAGTAAATATCTTTGGCATAAAAGTAATAATATAAACTGACCGATGTGGGTGTGAAAGAAATTTGTTGTTTGGTTGGCAGGTCGTGTCTCCTGCGATAATTTTCCCTTTGTTCCTCTAGCTTCTTCTTGATGAGTGCTCCTTGCATGATCGACTGAGTGTGGGCCGCTAGCTCGCGGGGCGACGGAATACGAGCTGGGACGCCTGGGAAAATATAACAAATAGAATAATACTACTATATTATACATGATTATGAAAATTATTACAACAATGGTCAAGTAGATTAAAGAGTGATTTGATAACATATATGCTTCTTGGGTCAGATAGAGCACATGAAAGGTTTTAACAGGCTCAGCTTAGTAAAATTGCAATGAAATAGTTGTATTACAAACAAATACTAGACGTATGTACCTGAGTGATGTACTGCGAGCGAATTAGGACTCGCTGCCATTATAGGGGACACGCAGAATGCTGCGTCCGTCACAAACACATATTCAAATAAAAAAAACTACAACGTTCTTTGTGTGTATTTCGTAAGTTCAAATATTATATCTCAATTTCTAATTTCAATGCGATACAAATCAAAGAAATATTATTATGGACAAACTATAAGTATTTCAAACTGGTATATTAATTTAAAAAAAACACTACATAATATGTCGATGATTATTCTTAAAGCTATCTAATGTTAGGTACAGTCTACTAATAGATTATTAATCTACTGTACCTGAGCTCGGCAATGGCGACAGTCTAAGCGGCTGATGATGAGGAACTACGAGATGTGGCGGAGATACTACCGGAAGTGGGGAGCCGCCCATTTGCTAAAATAAATTATAATATTATTATTGAGTCAATGAACGAAGGTTAATTCAATTTCAAATTACGTCAATATTTTTCATTCATCATTTTCAGTGAAAGTTTTATATGAAAAGCAATAATTTCTGGCTATCCAAATAGAAAACTAATTTATTCTAATATTATGAAAATTTTATATATATATATATTTTAATAAGTATTATTCACATACGAAAATTATTGGCTTTGAACATTTTTATATAGAAATTACAAAAATGAGTAAAAAAGTGTGTAGCATGCATACAATATCACAGGGTCATTCTATAAGTAGTATCGTTTCCAACTATATTAATAATTTGAACTTGACGTTTATCTTTTATATTTATTGTAAATAATAATAAACAAACAAGATAACGTCTCCATATCATTATATAAAAATATTTTTACTCATGTTGATGATAAATATGATATAATCTTTCCGATTTCAAATTTATACACTGGTAGATATCTGTGGAAGATTTTAATTGATTTATTATTAAACCTGTCTTTGCTGGTGTACTCTCAGTATCGTTAGCAGCAGTTCACGGTGCCTGCTTTGCAGCCCCGGGTTGCCCAACTGCTGCATCAAGTTCTGGACAGTAATCTCGCCTGCCTTGAGACCTGGATGTGCAAATCAGTAGAATATAGTAGAATATCGTATAGTAGAATATCAGTACAATATATTTTGCAAGTTCTTTCGAAAGATATGATTTTATGCTATATAATTTTTCCTGATATAAATTGATATCTTCAATTACAAAAATGTATTAGAAATAATGTCATCTTAAAAAATTAAATATATATAAATTATAAAGGTTACCATGTATGATAGCCTGTGCCTCTGGTCTCTGTAGCAACTCTCTCTCACTGGGCAAGCCCATACCCACGTCGCCTTGTTGACGCTGCTGTTGCTATAATACACAGTTAATGTTATTTTTCATATAATACCGTAGAATATTATTCTAGCATTACAATATAATGCACTAATAATCGTCAATTATTATTTAATCCACGATATCCATAACCAATGATGATAATAAAAAATCTATATCGCGGTACAGTCTAACCATTGTAAAATATCTCAACTAAATAAAATATTCACTATATTCTTGAGGACATATACATAGTTTTAAGTAAAAAAGCTTAATATAGTTTATTTAATATTTACAGTAAACTTTTTTTTTGAGACACATACTTGCTGCACCTGCAGGAGCTTGTATAGGAGCTCTTGCGGTATGTGCGGCGCGGATTTTGGCTGTTGCTGTTGTTGCTGCTGCTGTTGTTGTTGTTGCTGCTCCATGCTCTTGTTAAGCATCTGTTTAGAAACATCAATTTGAAATTATTATCAATAAATGATCTTAAATTTATAGCATACATAGGAAACCTTTCACAACTTATATTTACTAAAGTTACTAATAGATTATTTTACACTAAACTTTTATTTTAATATTTTTTGCGTCTGCATCAAGGATATCGAACATTTACAAACAAATTAAGATGTACATTCACTGCATACATTATACTTTTAAACTATGTACAAGTAAATGAAATCTCACCTGGAGCAGACTCATCGGCGGAGGCTGCGGTCTCGGAGGCTCAGCTGTCACCGCATGTCCGCCAGATACCTGCGCCAGCTGAACAAAAGCAGTACAATAATAGACATACATTTTTTATATATACTAGAAGACCTGGCGAACTTCGTATCGCCCTATACTAAAGAAATATCAATTACGTTTTTTTATTTATATTTTTGGAGTTAACCTGTAAGCCATAAATCTCCGTGTTTTGAAGTGCGACAGAATGATTGACATATTAGTTAGTTGTCAAATCTAATGTCAAAGAAAACGTTTGTATGGGAAATAGAAAAGGGCTGTTTTTATGGTTTTCCCAGTAATGAATGAATTTTTTTCAGCTTTTATACCTTCCCTGAACCTCCGCGAACATTTAAAGACTAAGATAAGATAAATCCGTTCAGCTGTTCTCGAGTTTTAGCGAGACTAAGGAACAGCAATCCATTTTTATATATATAGAAGATAGAAGATTAGAAAATATTAATTTGCATTACTATGCTTAAAGTATATAGAATCTATAAACATGGATGTTAATCATATCACAATCAAATAAGCGTTTATTTCTTATTGTTGCGCAAACATATGTTAGTGACTAACCTCAGAGTAATATATAAGAGTTTTGTATAGAAAAATACTCTTGTAGTATGGTAAATAACTCACAAGTCGTTTGAAAGCAGACAGGTCGTGGTCGTGGTGGTGGGCCGGCGGCTGAGTCGGTCTTAGACGTGCCTCCAATTCCTCAAGGCTGTGGATCTTGCCGCCCACGTTGTTCAGTTCTGTTAAAACATTTAAAATAATTATGAAGACTCACTATATATTTACGTAATTCGTTTAGTGCTCAAAAAAATCACTAATCATAGAAATCAAATAAGGTTTTTGGTTAAGTTAGAATTTTATATACTATAGTTTGGTGAAATATAATCAGATTATAAATTATTTACCAGGTCGAGGATCAGCCTCAGCCCCAGCTCTTCTCAGAAGTTCCAGTAAAGACGGCGCTGTGGTGGGAGGCGCGCCAGGAGCAGGAGTAGTCTCACGAGTAGAATTGTCCAGGTCTAAGAAGAAATTTTATATATAAATCAAAACGTTTACAAACTTCTGATACATCAAGTGAGATGAATAGTATGTTTATTTATTTTATTTATTTATTAAGATGCACCATCGACTTATCATAATAACTAACACAATATTATATGCACTAAATATACAATCCAGTAAGATTTGCCTTTACAGGTGTATACAACATTGTTTTTTTACTAAAATACAGACTAAACGGTATGACGTTAAGAATATTATAGTAGTATGAGAAAATATATTTGGTATATTTTGATATACACACCGTCTATCATATTATGCATAAGTCTCTCATAATGTCTGTCTGCATGTCTGTCGGCGGGAGGAGAATCGCGACGGAACCAACGACTGAAGCGACTACCCTCAGCCTCGCTGCTTCCGTTCTGAAAATATATATCAATTATTATTCTATACGTAATACCATGCACATTAAAGGAAAATTATAGTATTATATACACAACTGTTTTATATATACATATTTGTGTCTAGGTTTCAATCAGTGGCGGCCGGTGGGTAATCGAACCGGTGGTGCACTTTACTAAAATATTAAAATTAGAAAATGCAACAAAACAATATAATTTTTTATACCTTTTTATGTTTAAAAAATAAATTTTAAAATGGTTATTTAAAAATAAAGATGAAGTAATATTTTGTAATTTTTAAATCTTTTGAATTGGTGGTTCAGCGCACGAGTGCACTTAAGGAACAGCCGCCACTGGTTTCAATCCATAACATATAATGAATGGTCTATATTTATTAGACAATTAACTATAAATATTTTAAATATTAAATACTATATTTATAATATTTTAAGATATTATAGCAGTATTGAATTTTTTTTTGTTTGGGTAAAATTAGTTTCAATATAAACATTCTCATCCTTACAGTAAGCACTTCAGGTATTGAGTCGAATTTAAGAAATTCATCTAGATTGAAGTCCGGCTCTGGTGCCACTGTCTCCTCACTCTTACTTTCCACACCAGAATCCTTGTCCTAATAAATCAAAGAAAAAAATTACATATAAAAAAAAAAACATTTTTTTCAATTTGAAGATACATTTAAAGATATCATTGTTTCATTTCATTTCAAAGATATCATTTTGTCAAATATGTGTAAAGATACATCATTCACACTACAGTTTTTCTCAGTCGTCAGTGGTACAAGCGAATTTCATACAATATATTGTATTCCAACGATTTTTTAATATCTTCTAAATAGTTACAGAATGAAATTGGGAACAATTTATATATTAAAGTCATATAAAATCTGCTAAATTACTTCAAGTAAAATATGGACATAAATTAAAAAAATACCAGCCTATTAGATAGTGGTTTGTGCCATATATGATAACAAAAAAAACATTCCACTATCATAATTGTATAGACCAAAAATACATATAACTCCTATACAATACCATATATTATTGAAAATTAATTATTTCTAATAAACCAGCATAAAATGTACCGTATTTTTGTTAGGAGACGGTCCCCTCCAACGATCCGGTGATTTCGGTGGACCTGGCCATGTCTGACGAATAAAATTAATATATAAGAATATAACATAATGTAGCAAAGGACACCCAAAAAAAAGATGGCTGTACACCATGAAGCAGGAAATAAGAGCCGAGGATGCCAAAGAACGTGCAAAATGGAAGAGTTTAAGTAGGAAGGCAGACCCTGGCTAAAGCTGAGAAATTGCCAGGAAGAAGATAACATAACATAGTAAAAAAATGGCTTTATAATTACTCGATCACTTATATATTAAATATGAACGAATACCATGTTATACGTACTTTTGTTCTACATAAAATGGCAGATTTTAATGAAATAACAATGTATGTACATAGGTCCTTGAAGTTATCAAACAGGATATAAGATAATTATTATAAAGGGAAAATCTAATTGAACGTATACTAATCCAGATGTATACTACACTACGTACTATACATATATATATATATATATATATATATATATATATATATATATCCTACTAATATTATAATTGCCAAAGTTTGTGGGTGTGTGTATGTTTGTTACTTCTTCACGCTCAAACGGCTGAAGCGATTTTGATAAAATTTTGTATACAGGAAGCTGACGTCCAGGAATAACACATAGGATACTTTACATCCCGGAAATCCGCGGGTAACACCACGGCGGCACAACTATATATATATGTATACTAACCGTGTCATTGTTCCGTCCTTCCTCCGTGCCCCGGTCATTCTTACTCGGCTCGTCAAAACCACGCAGCTCGATCGTCTCTAACTGGGACGTCGGTCCGCCGCTAAACCTATACAATTATAAATTGATATACATACAATTTATACTGGATCTTCTCTCAATATAACCCTGACAATTTGTCTGCAACGAATATTACTTGTTCCTTATTATTGGCACTCTAGACGTTATATATTAGAAGATTTTACTACAATTGCTGTTGAATTTTACCTTACAAAATATTGTCTATGTATATTCCAGTTAGATATGGGAAACTAATTTGACATTAGTACACGTGATTGTTGTATATATGGAAATGTAACATACCATTCTGGTTCATCTTCCTTCTCAAAACGTCTTTGAGAAAAGCGACCACCTGATCTACGGTTGTCTTCCCTGTAATAAATGTACACGTTTAAATTAAACACTGATATATTTCTTAAATATCATGTCTATAACTACGTTTATAAGAGAATTAGTAGAATTGTAATTAAAATTTGAGTATAACAAGCTATTAAGCTATTAAGCATTGAGCTTGATTAAGGTATTATACAATTGTAAAATGTAAAATTGACGACACTGGTGTTCGGAATAACTGGAATGAGTTTATGTTGACACCTTTAAATGTAAAACTGTTACCTGTACTCTTTTTGTAATTAAATAAATAAATAAAATAAATAAGGTATACTTCATACACATTTATTATACGTAACCCACGGCAATTTTTTTTATCAATACGGCTAAGTTTTTAAAAAATATATATACTTAAATCATACACTTCACACATTACGAAATTGAAATAGATATACGTATAGACCGTTTCAATAGAAATTGGCAATCTTGTAAACAAACATGATCAGCTGATATTGACAGAGACTTGTCTATGCTACTAGTGAAGTCAGTACTCTTCAAGATATTTTAATCTTAATTATTAGATTAAAGTTTTATAAAAAAATACTTCAATTCGTTCATATTTCGTTAAATATTTATTAATGAGCTTTTTTAATGAGTTAAGAAATGCAGAATGCAAAGGGGAACACAGAAGAGCTGTTTGCATCCCAATAGCACTAAAAGCCCTGGTTCGTTAGGAGGCCAAGGACCCCAAAGAGCATGCCATCAAGGTCAATACTTTTTAATATTTGTGAGTTGGTTAAATCCCAATAATAATAAACATATACACACAGTTATTTAGTGATAAAAAGATTGTTAAAAACAGTTGTGGGTTCATAGAGATGTGATTATTATCCGGACTGATATACCATTGTACATAAGAACGGAGTAATCGTGGTCAGTTGCTTTGTTCACACTTCACAAGATTGCCAATTTCTATTGAAATGGACTATATTTAAATACATGTATATAATGTTTCTTGACAACACAAACGAACCGTTATATATAAGGTATATATGTATATATAATCTATATATAACTCACCGATCCCGTTTCTCGTTGTTAAATCGATCGTCCCTTTCCCTCTTAATCTCAGAGGAGTAGGAATCTCGGTTGAAGGAGCGACGATCAAACCTACAAAAATTATCATATTAAAGTCATTCAATTGAGCCATTATATATTTATATCATTAACTAGTAAACCCGGCGAACTCCGTTTCGCCACCAGAAGTTTTTTATATAACATTTCGTTTGGTGATTAAAAGATAAAGATTTTTTTTTGTTTTAATTTGAAAAGGAAAATTTTTATTTCATTTCACAACAGTAATGAATTCATTTCGATTACAAAAATGAAGTGTTATTTAGTTGAACTTCTCTAAGTAAATGAAAGTGAATCCAAAGTAGATACCGAATCGAAGCGTTATACGTGTCCGCAAATTATCCGTTTCATTGAAGTGGTCCTTGCAAACAACATTTTTTGTTTTTTGGTCTAACTTTAACCCAAATAAAGCGTATGGTTTCCAAACTCGTGAACATGCAAAATATAACTGCCCATGTGAAAAACAATGATTTTCTAAATTTATCCCGCAAATACTAAATGGTTTTAAGAGTTCAAACTACAAACACAATACCGGTTTGTCACATGAAATTAACTGAGAATAAAACAATGAGTAGCTGTCAAATAATATATCATGCGACGGCACCATCTATTTAAAATATTGATTTGTAGTTCATGTTATGTATGATGGCGCTGTATGTGACAAAAGATTTTCCCCTTTTTCTTGGTTCTTTCGTTCTGAAGTTATAGCGTCAGGATGGAAAACCGGACTTATATAGAAGATTTCTTACAAATATCAAACTGTCATCCATACGTCATTACATATCTGTCATTATATGTACGTCAATTGCATAGCTGTCAATTGTGTTTCGTTATTCCACGTTTTATAGTGACTGAAGTTTCATGTCAAGTCCCACGGGAAAGCTGTCGAACGGGATAAAAAGTATCCTATTGCAATTTCCTGGTTATAAACTACCTCCCTGCCAATTTTCAGCTAAAACGGTTCAGCCGTTCTTGGGTTATAAGTGGAGTAACTAACACAACTTTCTTTTATATATATAGAAGATATATCGTACATAGACTGTTGTTAGTTCAACTTTGAATTAATAGTATAAAATGCGAGTACCTATATCTTTGTAACTATTTAAGTCAGATGCAATGTACTTAAGCTATAAGAGTATTTTTATTGATAAAGTGTTATATATATGTTTGTCTTACCGATCAGAGTTAGTCCGTCTGTCATCTCTGTCCCGCTCACGGTCTCGCGGCGGACGGTAGGGCTCGTTCCGCTCGTGTCGCTCGTTCCGCTCGTGTCGCTCGTTGCGTTCGTGTCGCTCGTTACGTTCGTGACGCTCGGTCCTTTCATGTCTCTCATTACGGTCGTGTCGCTCGGTCCGGTCATGTCGCTCGTTTCGATCATGTCTCTCATTACGCTCGTGTCTCTCATGCCGCTCGTTACGCTCGGTTCGTTCGTTACGCTCGTTCCGTTCGCCGCGGTACTCGTTCTCCTCCCACTGCCCAGGTGGCATGTCGCGCACCATTATACGACCAGAGCCGATACGACGACCAGCTGCATGCAAAAAAATTGTTTAATATATTCATTAATTTTAGAGAAACATCATATTTTTACTTTTTATAAAAAAATATATGATTTTATTGTAGGCAAAATATACAATGGGTGTTAAATCTCAAAGAACACATCACCTATTTTTTACCACTTTAATTTAGGTCATTTTTACATTTAATATATATACTTGAAGTATATATATTATATATATACTTTATCAAATCGTGTATAAAACACGAATGATAAAGCTGTGACCAATCACTAAAACAAGTTGTACACATGTACATGTGGATTTAAAACATGAGTAACTTCAATGTACTGAATAGTTTAACTTTTGGGTACACAGTCCAAGAGTGGGTGGTACATCAATGATGTCTAACCCTGTTCCGTTTTGAGTGCGGGCGGGTGTGTTGAGAGCGGTGAGTCAGGTCTTGTCCGCGCCACGTGGGGGGGCGGCGCCGCGGCCGCTGGGGCTCCACATCCCGAGGTGAAGGATCTCCTTTGAGGTGACAACACTATACCGGTACTCGGTTCACTCTCCTTACGGACACGCTCGCGCGGATCCGCTGAACGACGCTCGCGGTCACGTCCGTACACTCCCTGATGAAATGAGGATTATGATATTCTTATTATACACCAGCACATCATATCATAATGATATTTTTTGGTCGACAGATTGGTAGAATATTCAGTCACTAATGTAACCCAAAAACTGGGTCACGGAAGTTTTAGGTGAATGTAGAAAAAAATCACGAGATGGATGTGATATTTCATGACGTACCTTATGGTTTTCAACCGGCGCATCCCCCTTAGCTCCCTTGTCATCGCCGGCTGGTGATTCCGATCTCTTCTTCAGAACGCTGAAAGAACATAGATTAGTGTCACATGATATATATATATGAAATATATATATGGAATAATAAATAATGTAACATACAGAGCAAGGTGATCGTTCCCGGCGAATGCATTCTCCAGTCCCTGCTTGACGAGCGGCGAGTGTCGCAGTCGCATGAGTTGGTCCCGCGTGTAAGTGAGGGGCCTACGGGTGGGACCCACAGCCAGCACAGCGGGGTCGCCACCACCTGACCCACCGCTTTCTTCGTGACCTGCCGATATTAAATCAAATGGTATCGAATAAAACACAAATATTGTTAGCAAAAAAAAAAATTATTAAACCTATGGCTTCCTTAAATACCGGAGTATATAATATTATGCGGGGTATGTATGGTTCGATAGTGTATTAAAAACGCTTACATTCCTAATAACATTAATCAGTTGATGAGTTCGTTACATTGTCATCACAAGGTGACCGTTACTAATGTCCAACTTACACCACGACACACGCTTCACCCGTTTCGTCGGCGGGCCGGCATGTACTTTTGGCGGTAGTTCTGTCGGCACCTTTCTTAACGCGCTTTGATACTTGAGTAGGAATGTGTGAACCGCACATTTCGCTGGTGACACTATGTCTAGTGACATAACAGTCAGCGTGGGCAGAACAGACGATTTTTTCGCGCGACGTTTAGAAGCTCGTCTGCCACCACGTCGCCGTGGTTTCCGTGACTTCTTAGCCACTTCAACTTCGACATTGTTCACCATTACGGAAACGTGCCACGAAACAAAATGGCGCACAATATACTTAACCTAACAGAAACTCAACTAGACGTATATATAAAAATATATTTTTAAAATATAAAAGTAAATTTATTAACAATAAATTTATACTATATAAGAATAATTCTAAATATAAATAAAGTAAAATTGTCAGTGAGACGGAACGATTCGCGATTTCTGCGTATAAAACAAGCTGCCAGCGCTCTAAAACTACGTAGTAACACTCGTAAAAACTCGAGATAAAATAATTATGAAGAATGTGAAAAATCACGAGGCTTTCCTAAAACACTATCGCAGACTCCTGCTTCCAACAGTTACGTCTCAAAGACTGGGAGGTACGTTGCGTTGGTCGTTCCGTTAGAGTTACGTACGAAACTACCCTCCATTGAGTTTTATTTTAGCACAAAACAAAAATTCAATTTTCAAACTGTTGATATTATCCCTACCCACATTTTGTGATAATAATGATAGACACGACACGTATAAAATAATATAAAACTTAAAACTATTTATTTACGTTAGAGTATTAGAGATTATGAAATGCTTTACATAATTAATTAATAATGAGACATATTACAAAACACTTCTTATATATTAAAAAAATAAACTTCCACAAAAACTCTAATAATATTAGTATCAAACAAGCCATCAATTTATAATGATTAATATGATATAAACGCTTTTGACACGAAATATATTTTTGTTTATATGAAAACTTTAAAAAATAAAGAAATTTGTAGAACATGAAAAATGAGCGGTCATCTTAGGCCGTTATGTTGACATAATTTAGCTGACATCGCTTTGTGGTACAAACTAAACGTGTATAGAAAAAAAATCCTTTCAACGGATTGGGGATAACTGCTTTAAATTCCGGAGCAATAATTTGACCCCAATATATGAATGTATATAACATATATACATTTTATATTAAACCAAAGCTTGTAAAAATACTAGCTTGTGACCCATTAATATCACTACTTTAAATACACCAAACCATCTAACTGTAAAATACAGTTAAGAACTTGAATACCAAAAAAAAACATACCTAAAAAGTTGAGGAAATATTTATATTAAGAAACTACTAAATTTCACCTTAGATGGAAATAAATTACTAATATTTTAATGTCTATAAAAATCGCCAATATTCAGAATTCGCAAATAAATATTTCTTAAAAAAAAAATAATGATACATAAGCATGAAGCAGAAGAATGATGAAACTTTTAAAACTGTTTCTGAATTTGTTTGCTTACCAATAGAATATACCAGAATGTAATAATTTACATGCATGTCATATTACGCTAAATACAATGATAAATAAAAATTTGATACTTGTTTATAACTGAAACACAAACATAGCACTTAAAAAAAAAAATATGAAAAATATAGCAGCTGCACATAGACACATACAAATGAAAAATAAAATGCAAGAAGGCTAATTTGTAATAAAATCATGTTACCTTGAGTGAAATTATAAACATGGCATTCAAAGGTATCTAGTCTATAAATATATATGCAAAGGGGATGCTGACCTTCAACCTCCGCACCCTATATGCAAACAGCTAGGGGATATTGAATGAAGCAAGTTATTGTTCAATAGCACAATATCTAGGGCATCTGTATTCAACATAACACCATAAAGATCTTTACAAAATGTTATTACAGTTATTTCGAGTGGCACAAATTCAGTTTATGTCATATGAATATGAAATATACTCTTTTGAATTACCTTTTATGATTTATTTTTCATTTTCATTTCAATATTATAATAATTCAACTTATGCATGACCAGAACAAACTGTCAATAATTTATTGGTTTTTAATTTCTGTAAAATCTTTATCGTCAAAACAACATTCGTTTAAGAATTATAACATCAGTTATAAGAATCTCTGTCTCCTCACCTTGATTTTGCAGGGATGCCATATATCTAGGTAGGAAAACTTAGCTGTAGAGAGCTAAATACAGCTCATATTAAATGTACACTTTGAGTATAGTGAATTTCATGGCAAGGGCTACATTTTATTCCATATCTTTGAATACTTCAAAACCAATAAAATTATTATTCCTATTGATTTTCAAATCAAAGTCACAACATATGTGAATTTCCCATATTAATCTTTAGCTACATTTAACTTCCGGTGGACTATTTATTTGTATTTTGAGGAGAAATTTGTAGTCCGTACTGGTAAAGCTATTTCAAACACTTTCATCCATTTATCCAAACTTTCATATTTATAATGGTAATTAAATTTACATATGCAAAATATTTATTTTGTTTGAATTAATGTTTAAAAGAATATTTATTTAATTCAATTGCATCTAAATGAAATTTATCCAGTTTTGATAAATTCTTAGATATAGATAATCCAACAAGAACTGGTGGTAAGTCATTTCAGTTTAAATAACTTGTGTTCTCAAAAAAGTGTGTGAATAATTATGAAATTTGAATATGTGCATCTTTGTTGGTAAATGGCTTAATTGGATAATCATGTTGATATGTTTATTTACAATGGATAAAATATGCTTTCCTGTTTCAAAGTTTCAATAGATACTGTAACATAGACAGCAAAATATATTTTATGCAAACAAGTAAATTTTACGCCAAGTACAAATGTAGTACTCATGAAAATCAAGATTTAGTATAAATGTAGCATAAATATAACAATATATCTTAATTTCATATTTATCTTCTCAATTCATGGTGTATACACATTCTTAAATGAATCGGTCATGCTGCGCTATGTAGGTGTTTTACTTTATATTCTTAACTTACTGTCCGTGCTATTTGTTTCATTCTCATTCTGTTTAGTTAAAGATGTGTTGTGATGTTACATAACCTATATTATTACAACAAACCTAACCTGCAAAACATAAAACAATGAAAATATCAAAACCCCATTCAATTATTATACCCAATAAACAGAGATAGTGTTCGACATGTTTATGTATAGATATCTTGCAATAAACATAAGCAAATGTGAAACGGATAATTTCAAATAACACTCTTTAAATTTTAATCACAGCATAGCAAAAAATTGCAGAGCATAGCATAGCATAGGTTAAAACATTATGCTGAATGCAGCATAAAATGTGGTTTCCAAAATACAAGTAGCAAGTCAGACTATAGTGTACAATAATATTTGATGAGGGTAATATTTCAAAAACCACTGTTATTTTACAATATCGACATTTCTGAAAATAATATACTAATAAAAAAAAAAACTTATAAGAAAACATTGGAATAGTAGAAATAGACAAAGTCAGATGTAGTCTGTAGAGTACTTAACCTAATTTTATCATTTAAAGAAGAAACTATGTCATTATATTATTATCATTATATGAATATATTGCAATAAAACTATCTGTTACTTTATTCTATGTTGTCAGTTTGCAGTCAGTTATGGCAAAAAAAAAAGTTCCAAATGACAAGTTACTACATAGAAACCAAGCTTAATTACAATGACCTATCAATAATTTTCAGGGATTTATATGATGGGTGGAAACTACTTTAAAATGATCTGCGTTATCGATTATTCTTTGTTTCAATGAATTTAAGTACGCCATATAAGTATCTAATTAGGACACTAAAGCATAGCATTTCTAGAATTAGAACGAGATCAATAGCGTATTAGATTGAAATTGGAAGGTACTTTTAAAAACACAATGAATACGGAAGGCGGTTAAAAAGTTTAATTATGTACCTGATTGGTTAGAGCCATTGGTTTGGCTTTCGTCCGTTGGATTTTCTTTCAATGAAGACAATAGGTTCACAGCTGACATAGCTTGCAATCGCACACAGTTTCAGTCTTCTTTCAATATATTAAAACTACTAATATTCCTAAATAACTTTACAATATTTACAAAATTATATCAATCAACTAGGTATTGTTTATATCACAGACTTTTCGTTTTTCACTAAACAATACGGATAAAAACGTCCACGCACGAAAATATTATCAATATGTACAAGAATCTAGGTAAAATAAACTTATTTACACATTAACAACTAACGTTTAAAAGCTACTGTTAACAAATACTTTCTAGCGATCACAAGATGTTCATAACTAAAAGAATTTATCAGTTTTCGATGCAAAAATATATAAAACGTCCGCCATATGCCTTTTGGGTCTGTATTATAAGAACAAATCTGAAAGATAATAATGAGAAACATTTGTTCCATACAAGTTGCTAGTTTTAATTTGTTGGGCTTATATCCAGTTGCCACTATTTTATTTTTTTTCTGTGTAACGGCATTCTTTGCTTCAATAAAGTTTCTTAATTTCAGTTTTTACAAATATATTTTTATACTTTAATTTTTAACAAGACTATATTTATAAGTACGCTAATAAACTAAATTACCCTTAAAAACAATAAACTAGGTAGGAAGCTAAATAAATAATTAAAATCAAAATAAATTTGTAGACATGTCCTAAAGCCATTGTCAGTATAATAAAAAAATATAAACTTAATTATAATATTTAGATCCTCCGTAAAATGTTTAATAAAATGGTGGAAAGAATATTGCTGTGGTAAGATAAGATAGAAAAGATCAATAAATGTCATTGATTTCTGTGACAACGACAAAAAGCAAATGGCCGGTTGAAGTTTTTGTTGTTGATCGTTCTGCTGTTTTGAAATTAAAGTGAATATTGTTTTATAATTTGGTGAAAATATTATTTTGTTGTTAAAATGTCTCTGAAATGGACTGGAAATCCAAATGAAACTGGTATACTAAGGAAGAGTGATGGAAGTAGAGAGAAGAAAGAAGAATTATTCGTGTTCGGGTATTCGTGCAAACTGTTCAGGGATGATGATAAAGCTCTGCACATTGACCAAGGAAAGCATCTCATTCCGTGGATGGGGGATGAAACTTTGAAAATCGACAGGTTCGATATGTTTTTAACTATAAGACTGCTAACTGTGGCGCTAAAGTTTTAAAAGTACAGTAAATAATCAGAAAATATTAATTTTTCGGAAGATGCTAAGTATTCGCAGAAAATGTTGAATGTTGTGGCCAGGCGTGGAGGGCGCACTGCAGTCGCGTGAGCGTCGCTGCTATGCATAAAGTTATGGTGACGTCCATCGGTGGTATGTATAACCTATAAAGGTACCCTTGCGTATGTATGATAAATGTGATTTACCATGTCGACGTTCAATATGAAAAACTGATGTGATGTTTAAGTCTTAGTTGATAAGTGGTAGAGGATGTCACTAATAAGATACATCTGTAACGGCAGCCAATCAAAATTTGATATACAATCACACTGAATATATGAAATTCCTTAGTATTTTAGGTATACTACAGAGCCGTGAAAATGAGTAAAATATTATTGATGTCCAATTTATTCATAATGTTATACATGTATACATTAAGGATAAATGGATAGTTAAGGATATTTTATAAATTTTCTATTGTATCTGTGTTAACAGCTAAGGCTTGGTATTTATGCTAGTATTTATGTTGGCAGGTATGACGCAAGAGGGGCCCTCCATGATTTGGTGTCCTTAGAAGCTCCACCTGGTGGCTTCGACTGGCGAGTGGAGCTTTCCAGAACTGAACAGGATGTGGAACAGCTCTGTGATGAGGAGAGGTACCGGGCCCTGCATACTGATGAAGACGAGGAAGAAATGTATAAGGGTATAAATTTTAAATAAATTAACCTACACCTTTTCTATTTCATAGCTTCTGCATGCAACCTTTGCCTTATAAAAATCATAAATATAATCATCATCATCAACCTATCAGAGTCCGCTACTGAGCAAAGGCCTCTTTCTCACATGGAGAAAGTTAGAGCATTAATCACCATGCTTGCTCAAGACGGGTTGGTGATTTCAAACTTATAATTGTGAAATTATAAGTCCAGGTTTCCTCACGATGTTTTCCGTCTCTGTATGTCAGTTGTGTCTAAACACTCTCAGAAAGTACATATTACTCTGAAAAATCACGTTTGTACTTGCCAGGTTTGAACCCGCGCCCTCGGCAACGAGAGGCGGGCCCTTTAACCACAAGGCCACTACAATAAATATAATACTATTAATTATTATAAACTAATATTCTTTTTGTATACAGAGGAAGAGCTTAAACGGCTCCATGCAGCAGGTTATGGTCAAGTCGGCTTTAACTATGATGCTCCAGCCGAAACTCCACCTGAACCTCCAGTAGAAATTGAAGAGCCCTTTGAACCTACAGATTCATTTAAAGAACTGCTGCCTTCAAATACAGAATTTGTAAGTCAATAATTCAGTTTAAATAGTTGAATATGTTATAAATGCTCTTTAAAATAAATCTCTCCTTTTCTTATGAGTCACTTGTACTAACTCAGAATTTAGGCTAAATAAAATAAATTACTTAATTTCTTTTAGCCTCAAACACAAAAGCAAAATGCGATTATTGAAAAGACAGCAAAGTTTATAGCACATCAAGGTACACAAATGGAAATTCTCATTAAAGCCAAGCAGGGTGACAATCCACAATTTGAATTTCTCAACAAGGATTCCTCACTACATCCATACTACACTGCCCTTATAGCATTGGTTAAGGCTGGCAAGTGGCCGGAGAAGGCAGAAGTTGTTGAAGGTACTTGAAATTTTATCTTATTAATGGTATAAATTAAAAGTACTGAAATTTATGATCAGGAAATACATTGTCTTTTGACAAAAACAACTAAGCATTTTTTGTTTAGCTTAAGATAGCAATATAAAACTTTTACACCCATAGCATATTGTGACATGGTCGCAATATTAAACCAACCAATTGTCTTATAATTATATATTAACATACATATATTTAAATAAATATTTGTACAAGATTTGGTGTCACAGAGTCACATATATTTAAAAGAATTAAGCAATAAGAAAGTATGAAGTTTTTATTGCAACAAATTGTGTCCTATTTCAAAATAATGTATTAGTTTCAGATAAACATGAAACAAATGAGGAGTACCTTCATCCAAGCTTAGCATCAACTGTTATAGAATCGGTGAGTAAATTATACTACAAATACATGTTTCTAAACATAAATATATTCTCAGGAAGCTTTTTACTTTTAGATATACAAATATTGTGTGTGGAAAAAAATAATCTCATTATCATGGTTGATAATCTTAATCAAGGTTTTGAACATGTTTTGTCATCCACACCAAAGTCATTTGGTTGAAAATATGACCTTGAAAATTAAATTAGATATCCTTTCTAACATATTTTATTGCAAGTTTAAACTTGTTCTATATAAAGAACCACTTTATATGAAGATACATAATTGTATAATTTTTGCACAATGTTTATATACACCATTTTTTTGTTACTATAAAAGATATTTCAATCTAAATTTGCTCAATAGTGTCTAATATTGTATTATCATTAAAAGGAATTTTATCTCATACATGTTAATTTCCCAGGCTCCCTCCATACCAAGCATTCACTACAAGCCGTCTGCAGATTGTGACTATACTTTACTCATATCAAAAATGAGGGGCGAGACATTGGATGAGTACTCTGACTTGGCTCCAGGTGAGGTGGCGCCCCCGGGAACTGAACCTGTACTGCCAAGGGCTGATATCATGAAGGCCCCAGTCATGTATAATAGGGGAGAACCAGGTAATATACATATACATTTATCATACACGAATTGCTATGTTTGAAGCTGAATATACATAGAATTAGATATATTATGAAACTCATTTTACTCTAAATTCATATATGTATGCATATGTGCTTTGCAAATTGTATAGTCACTCAAACTTAATACCCTTTATAATTTTGGTTTTATTAGATACTCTTATTGAGTTATAGTTGAGCATAACTTGAAATGTCATTATCATAGATATTCTTTTCTGTAATTTCAGTCAATAAATATTATTATTGTTTTAGTTCCACCGGTTACTCAAACTGTGCAACATCATCAGTATGCAGCATACTACACACAGTATATGGCTCATCTAACACAAACACAGACACAAGCACACACGCCACAAACGACAATTGAAAAACCAGCACCAACCATACCTCCAACAGAATCTACCGGTTTAAGTCTCATGAAGAATTACAATACGGACAGTGAAAGCGAAGAATCAGGTAATTTAATTCAAAAATTCACTTTCTTTTACATAATTACATTTAAAATGTGCTATCTATTAATTATGCAAATCAATAACATATAATGTGATAAAATACTTGATTAATTTTAGAATTGGATGATAATTCTAAACAAGCAAGCAAAGACAATGTCTTAGTGCCACCAAACGATGTTCATGTGGTCATAGACAAGATGGCGGCGTACGTAGCGAGGAACGGTGATGAGTTTGAAAAAATTGTACGGTCTAAAAACGATCCGAGATTCACATTCTTAGAGGACAGTAATATATATCATCCGTACTACAAGAAATTGATGCTCGAGAAAAGAGGTGTCCCAAATGGAAACGACAAAAAGGACATCGACAAAGGTTGGTTAGATTTTTACAAATTAATATTTTTATCCGTATGTAGTGTTAATAATTACATAAACATTTTTTTAGCAATTCCTGTGTCTTTTTCAATAAAGAAGCATAAAGAACCGGAACCGATCCTTCCGAAGCCAGCACTTCCGTACGAGTCGAGTACAGATGGTGAAGAAGAAAATAAAGACGCCGAGAAACACGAAGAACCCAAAGAAGTGCCGATAACTAATATACCACAGACACATCTCACTAACAACAGTAACAATATACCGCCTATTGTTGTATACAAAATGGAAGCTGTACAGGCCAACAATCTGCCTTTAGTGAAAACATATGAACCATGCAACATTGGCAAAGTCATTACTGAAGTCAGCGAGAATGCTAAAGAAGCGATTGTTCCTCAAGTAGTTGAGAAAATTACAGAAAATGTCTTACCACCCCCTGCTGAAATTAAAAAAGAGAATTCTCCGGAAAAAAGAGTAGTAGAACGGGCCAAAGACAAAGATAAGAGTCCCAGGGAAAAGAGTCCTAAAGAGAAGAGCCCTAAAGATAAAAGCCCTAAAGATAAGAGTCCTAGGGATAAAAGCCCTAGAGATAGGAGTCCTAGAGATAGGAGTCCTAGAGATAAAAGGAAACCTAGAGATCGAAAGAAGGATTATAGATCAAGAAATGATAGGGAATCGAGAAGATCCGATCGGAGAAATGATGATAGAGACAAAGAACGCGAAAGAAAGAGGGACAGAGACAGAGAGAGTGTCAGTGACAGGGATGGAAAGAGAAAGAAATATAAAGACTCAATAGAAACAGAAATTATATCATTAGAAGATAATTCTGATGAAATGATTGATTTGACCGGCGAGCAATCCGACTCCAGAGGTATGTATATTATAGATAAATAAATAACGATAATAGCAATAATTGTAATGTATAACAATACAATACTTACACTCAGATAACAACGACTTATCAAAAAATTACCCCGAGTTTTTACGAACGGCAATGACATTGATAGGTATTAACACTATTCTTTTAGAGTTTATTAAGGAATAGAACTACAGTGTTACATAATGATCAATTAGTGTTTAATTTATAATTGTGCTTAATTTATAATTGTGAAAAAATTACCTTAAATGTCGTTAATATAGAAAATATTTCAGCTTAAACTTTCTTGTGATAATCTGCTTCCAATGTAGGTACACGGAATTATCCAATGGTAGTTACGCGGTTTTGTAGTAACCCCGACGATATATATGTATATATAAACATGAATATATTGTTTAAAGGTGAAGAGACAGAGGCGGATCGTTCCAAGCAGCAGCAGCGTCGTCGTCGTGCGGCCGAGTTCCTTCGACGAGTCTCCTCATCCCGGACGAGGACGACTCACGGGACAGACCGCAGCCCTCGCCCACCGACCGCTACCCTACCGCACTCCTCACTAGCCAGCGCTATGGTATATAATTACCACATATACTATAGTATATATACCACGTATACCACATATACTATAATATATATACGCCTTATAAAAACATATGAAGCGATCTAACACATAGTTGCCAGCTACTAACTAGCGAGTATTCATTTAAATGAATCTAATAAATAATTAATCTTAGAAATAATTACTACGCGTATTTTATTATTTTTAAAAACTACATACTCCTGACGTTTCGTTTACAGTTGCTGCAAAGTAACAGAAAAGAAATAATATTATCCGGAAATTATTATTTTCATTGAATCATATGAATATGCCTCTTAACACATTTTCCTTATCTTCTGAATTAAGAGAATAGACTTCTACTCGCAAGTACAATAAAATTTATTAATTTTTATTTTGAACGACCTCATCAATGGAAGTAATTAGTTAAATCTAATATATATTGATTATTAAAATTATTCTATATAATTTTTAAGTTATCATCTTTGCACTGAATTTTGTTATAATCCTGTAAATTGTGGTAACAACCAGTTACTACGTTATATTAATTTGGTATAACTTAAATTTACCTACCTTAACATATTACTTATATTCAACATTTATATCTGATTTAAACTAAACAAAAAATTTTATATTGTCATTTTAGGTTGACACATTAGAATCATTGTACAAAAAGAAAAACGAGGAAGATGAAAAGAAGAAGCGAAGGGAGAAACGACGGCAACGAGATAAAAGAGGTTTATGAATGTTCAATTATATTTAAATATTTATAATAAAAAAGGTTTTCTTATCAATAATATACCTTCCACAGATTATGAAGAAGAATCCGACAGATACAAGAAAAATAAAAGGAAGAAGAATAGGTTTGTTAAGAAACCTTATCCATCTAAATTATCATTGAGTACTTTATAAATGGAACTTAATTAATTATAATTTTTTGACAGGTCTTCAGAAGAAGAAGATTCAGATGGAGCCAGGTAAGATTAATAAGATAAAAATAAAATAAGCACAAATTGTACTTAAACAAACAATTATGTATTGTTATAATTATATTATAACCTTCTTTACAGTTCCAAAAAGAAGAAGAGAAGGAAAGAGAAAAGCCATTCCTCTAGAAGTTATAAGAAATCCAGAGACACAGAGCTAGATGAAAAACCACAACAAATTAACATCGATATAACGAACACACTCAAGGAGCTAAGGAACTCCTCCCCTACGAAAGAACTTAGATTAAAAGAGGAGAAGCTTCTAATAAAAGATAATTCCGACGGAGAGAAGAGTTTAAAGAGAGATAGGGAGTACAGTGAGGGAGAGTGGTCCAGCGACAGTAATAATGACTCCGGTTTAAGTGACAACAATACAGAACAAACTATAGCTGGGAAATCAAACTAAGACATTCACAAATTCATGGTTGATGTAAATTACACGTAGACAAATGCTTGTTAATAAATTTAAAGAAATTCAAATTTTAATATACAATCATTATTATTATTATTTAAATTACATTTTTTGTAATTAAGTTTCATTAATTCAATGTTATAATTGCGATTGACGGGAATATTTTTTTACATGAATATATATTTTTATTTTTTATTCTTTTATTAAAATAACTTTGATGTACATAACTCATATGATATTTTATCTACATCAATATGTTCAACACAACAAAGATTGACATTTCAGTTATATAATATGAATATATGGAATTATACAACAATGAACTTTATATAATTTTTGATTCAATACACAAATAAATCAATCAATTAGAAATTATGCTAAGATTCTGTCAACTTCATTAATTGTATGTAAATACATATTGGGATAAAAGTTGTAGAAATTTAATAACGAAACAGTTCACTAGATGGCGTGAACTGTTGTGGCGAATAGATTTAATAGTTTTCAGTAAATTTTGAAGTTTAAAATAGCCATTTTTATCTTTTTTTTTATTTTGAAATAATGTGTATATTTTAATCATTTTTTTTAATTCGAATGTTTCTTGTTTGTTATTTCCAACGAAATAAACCTTATAAGACGTATAATTAACACATAATGAATGCCTTTGTTTCTTTCGGAACGACTGGGTATTTTTGTGTCATTGTTGCATTTTTGCACAAAATATGTATCTGTATAATAAATATAATGTTTTTAATAACTTAATTTTATTTTCCGTTACTGTTACACCATTTAGAATCTAATGTAGGTAAAATCAGCAGTATAATTGTAGACTCAATAAAATGTTAAATTGTTATGTGATGAAAATTTTTTCAAGACAAAATATATTTCAAATTATAACTAACTTACATAGTAGCTGACTACCACAGCTGTATTTATAATTTTCTTGAAATACATATGTTGAAATTCGTATAACAGGGACTTGTTTTATTTCATATATTATTACTATTCATTGAGACAATATAGGCCAGTGCAGAAACCTTTAAAATCTATGAAAAGCGAAAATAAATTTAGTAGAATGAAACTCATTAGAAAAGGATGGGAATATTATAAAAAATAAAAGAAAAATAGTTTACGGGCGGTCTGAGGTCGGCAAGGGTATTTAGGGGAAAAAATGGGTTTGCTCGATTTCCGGCAAAACTAAAAGTCCTACGAAAAAATGTTTTATGGCAAAGTTGTAGGTAATAAAAAGATCTAAAACTTTTATGCTAACATTTTTTTCACATAACCTCAAAATTTATGTGAAAAATTCGAAAAACCAAGTTTTTGGTTTTTTTATTTTTATCTCTTACAAAAAATAATATTTTGTCACGAAATTTGGTGAAGACTTTCCTTTTGATGTTACAAATATACTGTAATTTATTTGATAAGAAATATTTATTTTTTCAGCTTATTTTGAAAAAATATCGAAAAGTCAGCCTCATTTTCAATCGAAAGATCACCCGTCAAAATATCAGCTTTTTTCAATATTTGGTGTGTTTTCTATTCGTTGAAATCTTTATTTTCCGATCGTGAAGAAAAAAATATAAGTTTCTTACTTGCAGTACCATTTTTGGATAAAATAATCATGTCTCTTTTAATGTAATGACACTCGACATCGTTTATAAAATGCTCTTTCTAATTTATTTTTAATACTTGTGTACTCTGGAAGATTTCCAGATATTAAATCTTTTAGGTAATTTACAGAAAATTGACATTTAGCTGCTAAAACTGATATTTAACTTTGAGTATTTATTGAACGATTTGAAATATTTTGCCCAGGTCAACGTTTTTATTTACGGACGAATTGTAATCTTAAGTACTGTGTTATGTGTATCCATATATTTTAATTATTTACCTCTTTAACTGATTTTTAATAAGTGACAGTACTTGTACTAACCATAGAAATAGTAATACGAAATTTCACCCAATGTATTCGTTAGAATAAATGAAATAGTAGATATCCGTGTTATTACTGAAACCAGATAACAGAAAAAAAACTAGAATAAAAGTTAAAAATTTTATTCACGAAATAGTAATGAAAAATACAAAGTTATCATATTTTTATATCCAGTATGAATATAATAATAAATATTAGGGTTATATGGATTATACGATGAATAATTTATAAATATGACAATTATATGAAACATGTTCCACGCCTGTAGGTAATTGTAGAAACTCAAGAGTTTGCTTTACCATTCACAGACTCCGGGAATATATTTCTCAATAAGTTTCTCGTAATACGGCCACAGAGCTTCGATATCGGGCACATTCTCACTTTTAGTGTACAAGTCGTATTTGCTGTAAAAAAAAAACATATTTTAATTCCTTTAAAATAGGAAGGCTCTGAATGATATTGAGAAATTTCATTTGTTGATCTTAATGTAAACAAGTAAACGTCATTATTGATCGCGTAAAATATTTGTGTAGATATTAGAAGTAGTAAATAACATACACAACTATAATTAACAGTACATAGTTTGTATACTTTGTACGTTGAACCTAATACTTAGCGTCAATCATTCTTTTTCCTATTTTTGGTTTAATTACTATTGAAAGAATAATGTATTTAGCGATTGTGAAAATCAAACTACGTAATAAAAAAGAAATAAATCAGCTGTATACTTTAAAAGATTTTTGCTACATATTTTAGAGGCGGTTGAACCTAGAGCTCTGTGGTGAATTGTTACTGCAGCTCGAATATGGACTGGCTCGACCGAATAATTACCACCTTCTTACAGAAAATTGAAGTAAAATAACCTTTAAACCGGCTGCGTTTCTTTTGCCCATTCTCATTTCCCACCCTTTCCTCTTCCTCTTTCCCAATCAAATGTGGCAACGCATTCGAAAAACTATGTTGCGGACGTCCATGAGCGACCGTAACTTCCTCCAATAGGTAGACCGTCTACTCTTTTGCTTCCTTTAGCATAAAAAATAAAATAACTCACTTGAATTCAAGCACCCATTTTAAAATTTCTTCGTCCTTCTCGTTAGTCAGATGACGGTAATCTCCACCAGCGTGCCAGGGGTACAGAGAATGGTATCTGAAATTAATTTAAAAGTGTTAATATAATACTAATTCCACTGAAGTGCCACAAGAGTATATATAAAACAAACTAAGCTAGCTCTTACCTGATCATGTACAGACCCTTTTCAGGCAAAGTAGACTTGTTGTGTTTCAGGAACTGATAAAGATACTCATCATGGCTCCAAGATATCAGCAGGTTATCCAAACCACAGTTGGGTTTATACATGCCATATTTTGTGCTTTAAAAACGATGGAAGAGTATAATTATTAAATTATTTATTTATTATGTTTATTGATAAAGTACAGGTAGGTGGAAAAGTGATAAATGGCATGAACTTACTTGTACTTAGGGTTGTATGTGTCCGGATTATTCTTGAAGCTTTCAGGTCCGTACACGATGGAATCAGCCCACTTACAACCCACAGGGAATGTATCTCCCACGACACACCACTGCGGCTCGCCGTAAAACGCCATGACCTTGAGTTCAAAAAGACTCCTTATTAAAAAAAACTTATACAAAAAAATATGATGCTTATATATTAATGAACAATTAGACATGGTCACAATATACTGAAAGAAGGTCCCCGTGGTGATAAATGAATTTCATGTAGGTACATATTTTTATTTTAAATATATCAAACGTACGTAGTTTAAAATATTACCATGTTACTAAAAGACAGGTTTCAATTATTAGATTGTTCGTAATTTATTACTTATTCTAAATTTTATGTTATCTGACAGAAGTCAATGGTTCATAAACACCAAACATAAAATTACGTTAGTTACCATTGACTTTCTGTTAGTTCAAGGAGACACATTGTTATCTTTTGACCATTTTTATGAGAGGTCGCGGAATTTTTTGTAAAATATTTTTCTATGAACTTTTAAACAACCCAGTGATTAAGTTAAGCAGTCAATTTTAATGATAAATAATAATATTTTGTTTAAACAATAACACTCGGTACATTTGCACTTTCCGACATCGGGGTCATCGAAAATCAGTGCTGGCAAGAACTGTATTAGGGCATAACTTCGTCGTGAATGCTCCTAACTCTTAAGTTTGGTTGAGTGTTACATTTCCTGCATTCTGCCATGAATTTGTTAGTATTACTTTATTATTAGATGTGATCTTAGCTATTTTATGATCACCTTTCCTAAGTCATGAATAAGTCCCGTCAGCTGGAACCAGTCATCATCAGGATGATCGCTTCGGATCCTCTCCGCGGTCTGGAACGCGTGTACGATGTTCGGCAAGTCTGTATCGGGATCAGACTCGTCCACAAGCTCGTTCAGTTTGATGAGAGCGTCCTTCACCGTTGACTTGAAGTGATTGAACTTCAGCCACTTGTCACGTTTTTCTAAACAGAGAGTTCTTCATTAGAATACGATTTAAATTCAATTATACCACAAACAAAATAAGGTAGCACTTAATTGATCAAAGTATTAACGAGGCGTTGTTTATCGACAATATTTCCTATGGAGAAAAACCTATTTAATTGTAATTTTCCATTTCAATCAGATTTGTTCACGCTAATTAGTAAAATAATTCTTGTAGGTTCAAATTAAGTTATTGTATTAATAAATAATAATTGACATACGTTTCACGAGTTCCACGGTAACATTGGTGTGCATGTCATAATAGGTCTTGCGGACTCGTTCCTTAATGGGGTCATTTTCGTCTACGGAGTAGTCGCGGAAAGCATCTATTGGTTTGTCGTTAAAGGTTGGCTCCGGGCGTAGAAGCTGCGACGGATCTATCATCGACACTTGCGATTGCTGTAAATAAAATAAGATAAACGGAAAATTCTAAATAATAAGTAGAACTTAACTACGTGTTTTTTTATTTTTTAGATACAAAGACCCGAAGTTTCTGGAAATAACATTTTCATATCGTCTGCCCATGATCACGGTTACAGCAAAGTAACCGAAACGTCGGGAGTATGTACTCGTAGTTAAATTAAACAAAACACGTAGTAAATCAGAAAATATTATTTTTATTTAAATGAATACTAGCGAAAGTCTTAGATTTGATTTTTCTATTACTATATTTTAAGTACTTAAATTAATAAAAAATAAATCTGTAAAACGATGAAAATATTCATTTTTATTTAACTATAAGGTACATATAGGGTAGGGTGTTTTACCGGGGAATATACGTATAACCCACTTAATGAGCAAAGATATAGTTATTGCCTAATATTAAAAGAACCTCCTTTTTATTACCTTTTCTTTTTCCTTGTAGTTATAACTTTAAAACCTATTCAGGGCGATCAAAGATATTTATGGAATATGGATGTAGTGTTAATTCTTAAAGCAATACATATATTATAATTATTCAATTCTAGCGTCGCAACACATAACAATAATAACAATTTTATTTTCGTTTTAGACACATCTAAAAACAATTTTTCTGAAATTTAATTTTATTTACTTAAAAATAAATTAGTAACGCAAGCATTTTTAGCGACCCTAATTGTTTTTATAGTTTACCCCATTTCTTGATAATTATCTTAAACATTTTCAACAGTTTTATAACATTCTTCGCAAGTTTTTTAAGTGTAACAATTGAAGTTAATATGTGTAATATATATTTTTTATATATCAATAAGTTGAGGCAGATGATGGTCTTGAATAAAGAAGGAAGCTTAGAAGCATTTATTAACGCATGATTTAAAACTAGAGTAAATTTGAAAATTTATTGAACGGCTCTTATAATTGTTGCTTTTATACATAAAAAAAAATATTGATTACGAATGAATAAAACTATAAGAGATGCAGGATGGTTTTTCCCTTATTAAGTCATATAAATGTAGCCTATGTTTAAGAAAAGATTAAAATAATACAAAGTAAAAATAGTATAAGAGTAAATTATAGACACATACAAAGTCTTAGACCGATTAATTTTTTAACAAATTATTTTATACAGATTGAAACATATTTACTGTATTGAAGAATATAAGAGTACTTACAACTTCGGCTGCCATTTTATAAGACTTTATATAAAACTCTTAGAACCTTCAGGAAGCCAACACTTGTTTGGAGCGACGAGATGTCATCTCAATTCTTTTATAGAAGTACAGAGATCTTGATCGTTTATATCAATAGATAAATAGGGATTAATATGTCCTATACGATGCGCGATTACAGGGGATAAGCTAGGCGGGTTATAAAACTCGCATTTGTATGTACTATACAAATATATATAATATATTGCACGTTTAAAATAAATGTCGCTTCTAATACGAGAAGACTGAAAGCAAACAACTACCAAATTTTTATAACATGCAGTGAACAGTGTCAGCAAAACATCAAATCTTTAAATGTAAAGAAAAAATCTTATAAGATAAAATTTTATTTTTCTATGTATTTAGATTACAAGTTATGTTGAACAAATAACTGACATAAACTAGGATTAGTACCTAATCTTATCACTTAATTCTATTGTTAAGGTGTTCAGAAATGCAAAACTTGCGTAGTTGCTTACACTTACATGTACCTAACATTGTGGCTTTAAGGAGAATTGTATTTATAATTTAATAAAACAATATTCAAAACAATTATTAACGAAGTATTATTTGGACTTATATTTTTTTAAATATAGATAAAATTATAATATAAAATAAAAATAAAGTAGCTTTAAAAGCTGCATTCAAGTTTCATTCGTTCGTGACTTGTAAAAAACATTTTTCTACCTCTACATTAATTTTATTCTCGCAAATAACTTGGGTACAATAATTTTGTACCCATTTGTATATTAATAACCAGAATGTTTCATTAACGTTATACCTAAACATTTTTTAGGTGTTAAAAAGTAATTATCTAAAATTTAGCATTTTTATATGGCATGAAGTTATGTGGCTACCTGCCTTGTTGGGCTACATCGATAAAAAATAGCAGAAGGAAACAACATTATCGTAATAGATAACAGTTGGTCCAACTTAATCTTTTAACATTATCTCAATGATCCAAAGTCATAATATGTCCCCTTTGTTTAAAGATGCCGATTGTTTCATATCACTTAACAAATCCCCTCGAGATATATAATAAACAATGTTTATTTTCTTTACATGTTGTGACTAGCGGTTTCGCTTGTAGATATTTTGATATAACCGAAAGTACTGTCAATTTTTTATAGTTTTGTCAATACATAGTAGTTTAAAAAGAAATATTTTGTACACACTAAAAACTTTCATTATTAATTTTTAAATAATTTTATAAATATGAATAAGAAAAATGGTATGTATAGACACTCTTATCTATAAAAGGTAGAGGAATGACAAAGAAATTTTATATATAATAGATAATCAGTAAATTATTACTTTTAAAAGGACAAAAATGCATTGTTTTTACATTGTGATAACAAAACATTTCAGTCACAATAGCGGGCTGTCTATTCTTTATAACAAATGGCTTATAAATTTACCTACATTATTTAAAATACTGAGAAAAATCTTCCCTCGACCATCTTATACGTTATTTCAAATACTAAACAGAATACGAGCTCATTCTTTTACTTAATTTAAGATAGTAAGAAAATATATGTACCTACATGAATACTGATTCAGGAAATAAAATATATATCACAATTTTATTTGCGGTCAAATGCTAGATATAAATATCTTAACTAAACATCATTTTTCCGGTTTGATTAATTCAGCCTTGGAACGTAGAAGTAATAATAAAAAATAATAATAATAACGCTTTTAAACGAACAGAATGAAAACAAATTACCTTTGATTAAACGAGTGTTAAGCTTTTCATATCATCACATTTATTTAATTTTGAAAAAAGGCATTGACACAGTTAGCTGCTTATAAAAATATATTTATATTAATAATTACACAAATTAGACGGTTTAAAATGATTTAATTTTTATTACTTAATTGTGGCAAAGGTTTTTATTGTACTAGATAAAAGGCTAAATATATTGTATACTCTTCATATGACACAAAATTCCATGAATTCACCGTGCGGGTGCCAGTTCCAACGTATTGCAGGGAGAGGAGATTCAACAGTGCCTGGGATTTGCTGCCTCTGGGATTTTTATTTTTTCTCATATTTATATTTATCATTATGGTCCAATCCCAAGCGGTTTTAAGGATTGAGTAAAACTTGACCTTTGATTTTATAGCCATAGTGCCTTCTTTCACAAAACCTACTGACCGCTGGTTTGCGATTAATTCCTTTAGCGCTCTGGTTACTGAAAGACTAACCGCTTCACATCTGATTTCCACAAACCTATGATCAATCATGAGTATTCCATTTTAGTGGTAATGGGATGTGAAAATCCTCTTTGTCTTACCGCTCTTAGTGCATCTCTAAACTCATTGCATGGATCTTATATTTAACATTCCCGTCTTGCCGAATAAAAGACTTCAATATATCTGTATCTCGGCCCTTCTTACTTGATCCTAACCCTACTCTGTTACTTTGTGCTCCTATCATAAACTGATTATGAAATTATAGTCTTAACTCGAGCTCTGGGTCATCTTTGTCTTTTGGAAGCGATGTAACGATGTCATCATTGGATTTCCCCAGGATACGTCTTTTGGAAACTCTTACTTTTAGATTTATCCTAAAATTATTTCGATCCCTGAATAATGCCCACGGATCAGGAGATAGTGCGAGTTCAGGCAACCACTACAGCATCTTTATGACTCCCGCATTATCTTTGACAAAAGATAAAAATAATAGACGTTAAAAGTTTTCAAAACAAAAAGTAAATTTGTGAAGATATTTCAAACACATGTGACTTTTTCCCTTTAAAAATTATTGTTCAAATTGCAATTAAACTTAATTTTAATAAACTTAGTTTATAAACCAGTAAGGTAATCAGAATAACAAAGAAATTAAAATAATTTTATTACCTAGTTTAGGCGTACGATCCGAAACAGAGGAGCATTCAGGGAGTGGGTTCTATAAAACAATAATTCACAGCACGACCTAGATACAAGAAAATAATAATCACCTGAACGAAAACGAATTAAACTGCTGCAATTTCATAAATATAAATATAATTAAATACCAAATGAACAATTAAAAATTAATATTAATGACTTCGTTATAAAACTATCTAACGATATAAATATTATAAATGCATCTTAAATTAAATGAATATAAGAAGTACTTTTTTCTTTTTACATTGAGTTTAATGATAAAAGCCTCTTTTATCTTAAAATAATATAGCAATTACGGTATTTAAAAATATACCTGATTTATGAACAAAATCTAACCATCCTAATGTTAAAGTCTTCATGCCATTTAAAATGTAAGATTAAACTGTTGGCTAACCTTTTTGGTATAGCGGTGCATCAGGCTAAACACCTCATGGGGTTAATAATAGATTACGACATTTAGAATGTAGGTTACACTCATCACATAACATTCCCTTTGAGGGTTGCAGTGAGGCCTTTCTAGCCATATTTGTTTTTTTTTTATATAGATATTTACAAAAAATATACATTTTTTCTACGAGTATTTAGACATCACTGATTAATGCATTCCCAAAGAGGGTTGATGTCAGGCAGGCGGCCGGTCATAAAAACAATTAGATAAAACTATTCACAACATGTAAGGCAGACTATGGCTAAAGCTGGGATATTGCCAGGTAGAAGAAGGAGCTTCATCTATAAAAAATATACATCTATCTATCTACATAAAATTGTTAGCCATGAGATTTTTATTTACGTAACCATTATCAATTCCAATATAACTACTATTATAAAATAGTTCTAATGTTTAGTTTTAATATACATACGTCACGTTGTTATTCTTCAATATGAATAGATAACGAAAGAACATTATTGTAAAATATTTTTCATGTTATATAACATTAAAATAATTAACAATCAAAATTTCTTATGGTGTGATAAACCAAAAATAAAACATCAACAGAAGATTTATTTTGCTTAATTTTCCTTATTGATATTTTCATTTTGTTGATAGTGTTAAAAAATGTATACGATTATATTGTAATGACCTGAGATTCGCAAATATTACGCATAAGAATGATAACATCTTAGTCTCCCTGGGTGACCCGCGGCTGACCTACGATAATTTACATTGTCGGTTAAGCATTTAAGAATCAACTCAGTGTGCGAGGTCCAGTCTTATTCGAGCATCGCCGAAAGAAGGACACTAATACAAAAATGAAGGTTAAAGAATCGGTAAGATGTTATGTTTATCATTTGTATGTGCTTCTCATTAATTTATATTATATCAGCGACTTTTTAAAATTAATGAATATTTTTTCTAAACTATACTTAATAGAGTTATTTAAAAAAAACTGTCTTAAAATATTTGTTAATGTTATGTGAAGTTATCTTAATTTTGATATATCGGCGATTGTTTAAAATAAATGGTTTTTTTTTTGGCAGAGGAAATTATTATTCTGTAATATATTTTATAATTTATTTTAATTTTATTATCATAGCGATTGATATAAATATTACTGCTTATTTTTTATTATCTGGTTATTTAATTATTTAGGAAAAAGCCTCTCTTCTGGACCCCTCTGTTCTGCTTCGTCCAGAGGCTGTATACAACGGAAAGCCTATAGAGGCATTCCGTAGTTATGAATTTGACGAAAACGATGCCATACAGCAGCGTGTACGCAGAACCTACTATAACATGCACACAGAACAGACATACGAATTAGTTAAAGGTACTCTTATCACACAATATACTAGTTAATACTGTGTACTCAGCTGAAGTATTTTATTATGCTGATTGCTGTTGTAATATATGCCGAGCTATTATTTATTTTCGTGGAACTAATGTTTATTTACCCTTTAGCTAAGATGGCTGAGTGGCTGAAGTTCAATCACTTCAAGGCGACTGTGAAGGAAGCTCTCATCAAACTGAACGATTTTGTTGACGAGTCAGACCCCGACATAGACTTGCCAAATATCGTTCACGCCTTCCAAACTGCGGAGCAAATACGACGCGATCATCCTGACAATGATTGGTTCCAGCTAGTTGGACTTATTCATGACATGGGAAAAGTATGAGGCCAATATCTTTGATACTTATATTATTAATTTGTTGTAATTTAATTTAATCATTAAAATTTGTTTAAAAATATTCCTTCGTATACAGTCCAAGGGAAATCTATCTGGTATAAAAGAGCGAAAGCTTTGGGCTAGTTTCGAATTACGAATAAGTATAGAAGCTAGTTATTAAATTTTAGCCTTCTTGTTAGTAGGTTTTAGTTTTTTTTCTATGGTACACAAGTTAAATTAAACTAATAATGAAGTTTCTAATATAAATTTAATTAAATGACTGCAAAATTTTACTTCATTGAATCCGTTAGTCGTCGTTTAAAAAGGTCATTAGATTTTTTTTAAATGTGAAAACTGAGTGCACAAAGTTCTGGAATCGCTATATAAAGCTTTATAAATGTACTAACCACATGAAATATATAGAGCGAAATTAATTTCATACAAAATTAATTGAGAAATGTAAAGTCGCTATGTACCACAAGAGTTTTAATTATTAACGGAAAAAAAAAATTTCCCAATTAAAATTGTCAAGGTGATGGTGTTTTATGGTGAGCCACAATGGTGGGTAACTGGAGACACCTTCCCGATGGGCTGTAAATGGGGCCCCAGTATTGTGTATGGTGATGATAGCTTCAAGAACAATCCTGATACATACAACCCTAAGTACAAGTTAGTATTCATCCATAAAATAGTATAAATATTTACACGTTTAATATTATTATATCAATGAATTAAGTCTATTTTAAAGTCCTTAAATAATTAATTATTCTTCACTATATCACCTTTCATCCGTACTAGGTTTGATAAACAAACAAAATAATTTATCACTATTTACAATAAAGTGTTAGACGTTATTGTTTGAAATTTTCACATGCTATGAAAGTGAACGAGCCTTTATATGTTCGCCTCTTAATTGAGTACGCATGAATCAATAAATAAATCATCGTTAGATATATCTCTATGGAACAAGTATGTCAATTATTTAAATATTATAGGCGAGAAGCTCTAAAAGAAACAAGAATATTTGTTGTATTTTCAAAAATATTAACAAAACTCCTGGAGTTGGTAATATAAGAAAACAAACACACAAAAGTCCTTAAAAATTAAGATGACTTTAAACGTTAAAATAGAAGAGTAATGTAATATGAAAGATGATTAAAAATAAATTGTAAGAGAAAGCACAACGTATTAGTTTTGTTTTGTTTCGTCAGTTTTAATAAACTAAAGTAATTTTTACAAGATTGTTTATTTATAAGGTCAGTGGTGATCAAATTGTGTTTGATTGTTAATGGAATTTATTTACAGCACTAAATACGGAATATACAAACCGAATTGCGGCATCGAAGAGCTTACTTTGTCCTGGGGACACGACGAGTACCTCTACCGTGTACTGAAACACAACAAAACCCGCATACCTCAAGAGGGACTTTGGATGATACGGTAAATACAGATGATTGATAAATTAATAGGGACAGTCCCAAAAAATTGCACTTTATGGGACCATAACTAATTGAAAACGTTGCTTGAGTTATTATTACAATTAAGATACATATCTTACAAGGAGTTTAAAAAAAATTTTTGGGAATTAAAAAATATTAGCAGGTATTATGGAAATGACAATGAGTGATTGCTAATATTTTGCCACATTTCCTTTAGGGTGAATGAGTGCTTCCATTCGCCTTGGCATACCTTCTATGTACTGTTTGGACTTTCCTTTATCTAAGGGTTGTGGTGCCACACATTCATTTATTTTTCCATCAGTTTTACCTCGGTAGTTATCATTTCCTTTTCAATTTCTGCCTTGATAATTTCCCATAAATTTTCGATGGGGTTCATAACTGGAGAATTGCCAGGCCAAGGTAAATCTGGTATATAGTAATCTGCTAAAAATTTCGTTACACTCTTTGCTTTAAGACATGGTGCTGAGTCATGCGTGAAGATGAATTTCTTCCCCTCTGGAAATCATTCCCGGAGTTGCGACAATAAGCGAGTTTCTTAGACATGACATGTACTGTCTCATGGTTCCCTGAACAATGTAGAGACATCCAATACTTTCAGCACTCATGACAGACCATAACATAATTTTAACAACGGACCGTGGTGTTGCATTCTTTGTTGCATCCTAATTTCTTTAACATTTCCCTTTTCGTTTGGGCGAAAGTGGCTGATCTACATCCAGATTTTATTTTATATACTACAAACCTAGAAACACCAGCCAGTTCTGCTACCTTCCTCTTAGAATAACTTGTGTTGCGAAAGAAGGGCTTTAACCTTAGACTTTTTTCTTGGAGACAAATCTACCCCTCGACCCATAGGGAAAGCTGTAAAAGTACAAAATAAATGATTTTGCTCCTTGAATCAGCCCCAAATTACTTTAGATTTAATAACAATAAAGTAATACTTACTTGCTTTCAGTACTATTTCACAAAATAACTTTCTAAAAGAATTAGTTACGTATTTCACTTTTACATGTGTGAAGGACTGTGCGTCTCTCCCGATGATAAGACATTTTTACCCGATAACAAAAACAAATCCCATGACACTTGAATTTTTTTTCAAGTTGATCTTTAGATGTGCTGTGAACATAAAAATACATTCTAGGAACACTTGTACCACTTGAAATAGCAATCAGACGAGCCGGAAGAAAAAATATTACAAAAAACGTGACTATCCCTATTAATTTGGCAACCTCCTGTAGCTAATTTCTTATAGTTTTTATGTATACATAATAAATAAGGATATAAATAATTTAATCTTAATGTTCTTCTTGTAGCTACCACTCTTTCTATCCGTGGCACGCTGGCGGCGACTACAGCTATTTCATGAAGGAAGGTGATGAAAAGATCAAGGAAGCAGTTCTTAAATTTAAGTATGTTCATTCATTTTATATTTAAAATTACTCTTTTATACTTTACGCGGGAAAGGTATGTGTTATATTCAACACAGTTCCGACTGAAAATTATAGTATACAGGACAGCTTAAAACTTTCTTAAAATACGTTTTTCTTTTTACTTTTATCAGTATGTCACATTCTATTAGGATTTTGTTAAATAAAACCTCTTTTCTTGTATACGGCGTGATTTGACAGTTTTTTTTTTACAGCCAGTACGATTTGTACACCAAGAGTGCTGAGGTACCCGACATAGAGGCTCTGTGGCCCTACTACGAGAAACTCATTGAAAAATACCTTCCAGGAGAACTGGAGTGGTAGACTATATCATACATTGAGAATAATATTTGCCACAGCATTATTGATTACGGGACGCATATTTTTTATGACCTTGTTATGTTTACGGTATTTGTTTGAAATAAAGAATGCATTTAATAAACCAGGAACTTTATTTTAGCTATATGTACAGTACAGATATCAGAAAATATATAATTCTATATAGCTTCAACAGTCACAGTGCAAAATGAGGATCCGTATAATATATTTATAGATATTATACATACCAACCGTTACATGGCTATGGTCTTAACTTATAACACAGAAATTAACAATTTGGTGAAATATTATATCTATAAATATTCACTACTAGCGAGAAGTAATATTAAAAAAGGAGAAAAGTACAACTCACATAGAATTATTTATGCTGTAATATCTTTCCCTCTTCCTATAGCTGCTTTTAAATCTGAATAACATGAAATGTGGATTGTATCTAAACAATGAAATTATTTTATAACTAATATCATTCATTAAAAATCTCCAATCATATCACACACTGACACCTTACAAAAAAAAATATACAACAAGCGAACACGGTTTACGTCAAAAATAAAATAAAAAAAATCAAACTACACGTAATTCATTCATACAACAAATGGATGTGTTTTCCTTATGAAGAATAATAAACAACTATTTTAATATTGTTTTCGCTATATAAAAAATCAAAAAGTAGAATCGACTAATATAAGAAATTATATCTAACCAAAGGCAATTCTAACGAAATATCTCAAAGAAATTACCGGTGCAGTGTTTAATATATTATAGGTAACATACATACACACAATCATTAAAGCATACTGGATACAGACATCGAAAGTTTTACGTAAGATAAATGCAGATTGTTAATATATAATATTCACCCTACTAAATATAGTGAGATGTGTTGAGTCCCGAACTGTAATAAGGGCCGTTGGTACAAACAGACATACACATTTTACATCTACTTTACTCTAGCATTACTTTACCAGCTATTCAGGTATGGACAACATTTTATTTTAGTTTCATTACAATAAATTACACATCCGATTTTAAAATGCTGATCGTTACCGAAAACCGAATGTTATCCACGCCTGATAGTTCCTAACACATAAACTTACTCAGTCTTTAATGGAAAGACGGCTATCAATTCCCTCAAGGCCATACAAAGGCATATCAATTACGATCAGACTCAATACACGAATGTTATATATAATAATTATTATTTTTTTAACTTACAATAATATAACTCGCTGGATATTACACATTTCGAATGAGGAACAAATTTAAAACTAATATTCACGTGATATACGATATATAAGAGTGTATTACGAATGTTTATAAGCGCATATAAATTGATTATTGGATTTTCATCTCTATTTTTATAGTACTAAGGTTTAAGTTTCAAAATGCTTGTATATGCTGGTGACGTACGCCATCACCTGCTGCCAGTCGGGCCTCTCCTGCTGTATCATGTCCTGGATATTCTGTGAATTAACAACATTTTATTATAGCACGGATTTCCTTAAGTATAATTTACTATCGAATTTAACATAATTTGTTTAGTTAATTATTGATATATTAAAATAATAATGTTTGGATTTTAGTTATTCAATTCAAATCCTGCTATACGGATCTGTTTGTAAGTTGTCAGTATGTTTATAAATAAATACATATAAAGCTTTGTAAGAATTAATATTTTTGTCGTACTAGTGTCGTCGGTATGCCCACGGATTCGGCCGCAGCGAAAGCCACAGAGAAATTGGTACGTTTGTCCTGTGGTGTTAGTGAGCTGTACGGAACGGTCTCACCCAAGTACGAGTGGAGTAACGCACACAGAGCCAAACCATCATTCCACGAAGAACTGAAAATTTATAAGACAATGATATTAATATAAATTTCCAAAGAAAAATGAGTTTTTTTTAATGATATCGATTTATTTTTTCGTATATCATTGACAGACAAATGTCAACGTAATGGTCGACACGTGAGATGTAAATTACAGAAAATCAAGAGTAAATATCGATAGTTTTAGAAAAAAAAACATTTGCATCACCTGAAATTAGTAATATCGATATTATTGTATCCCATGGTCTTCTGTTGGCACCACTTCAGAAGCGCGTTACGTTTAGAACCGCCGTTTTTCACTTGCAGAGCGTTCAAGGGATCTTTTCTTTCGCCTGTAACAGATAACTCTGCAATATATTAATTGTTTCGTAATCGTCATACGTCAGTGTTTAATACAGCCCATATTTGGTTAATACGATAATACAATCACGTTTCAAACACTTTAAACCGATGGTATTTGGTAATGATAATAAAATATAATTAATCACATTTTTAAATATAAGAAAATCATCAAGTTTAATTTAATGTTTATAATATACTAACATATATCTCCGTAGCTGTTTCGTCTCACAAATGACTCCATGGCCTTCTGTTGCAGGGATGCCAGGGCGAGCTGCTCGTCCGGCATGTTGGCCGTGTTGGCCATACTGGCCATGTTGGCCATACTGGCCAAGTTAGCGCCACTCCCCGCCGCCTCTGCCCCAGCGTTAGACACATAAGCCACGGCATGTATTGCGTCAGTTACATTTTTTTCAGTTAGTTTTAAATGCGCATCTATATCCTAATAAGCTTCTTGCTATTCATATTAAAATCACCACTCACGTACGGGTTCGCGTTGTATAAATTAAATTTTGTTATTACATGTTAAATATTAGACGTGAAGGATATTTGATAATGTTAATATAACTGACACATATACACGAGAGGAAGTAAGGAAGTCGCTAGCTCCACTAACCATTACAAAATTAGATCACTCACCGTCACCTGTACGAAGATATAATAACACACAAGAGAAACAAATTAGAGTTAGTTAAAACTAATAAACTAAGTAACTAAGTATACACCATATTAGATATACTATAAGAATAAATATATACATAGTATAATATGGCATTCATGCATTACATACATGTGCAACAAAGGAAAAAAGCTAAAAGTAAGATATTGTTAATACTAAGAAACCTTTGGTAGGTTTATATAATAAATATTATCTATGGTATACACAGACACACATTAATATTAGAAAAAAAATGCGAGATCTATGCACGTTCATGGCGCCATGCTGGAATAGAAAATAAGCTTACATGCGGTCAATAGATAAGTTAATATTATTTACATACAAATATATAATAAAGAAAAATATATATATGAAACATTACTTTTATATTAGCAATTATTATGTTATCGATTACAGGAAAATTTAGTCCAAATCAATACATTGAGTACATAAAAATAGAAGTGACGTCATAATTTCAATTCGTAAATATGTTACGTTTAACCAATTACAATTGTATAAAAATTATAACATTTTTTAACCTTGGCGAGGGTTAAAAAACTCTATAATATATACTATTTTTAACCCGGTGTAGGTTATGAGTTTTATAATAGCCGTACCGGTTGTAATTGGTGCCGGTCTGTTGTTCCTAGGTGCCGGCGGCTTTGAGAAGTTGTTTATCGAGGACGACTCGGTTATACCGTTTTTGATGGTGTTCGTTGTTGTGGTTGTGCACGCCGTGGTTTGCACCTATATGACATATAAATATAGATTTAATATATAAAAAAATTATAACTGAAAAATAAGTACATAATTATCGTGTTATGTTTTCACACATTAATTTTCAGACCTATAACTTTTACGTAGTCTAATTAATATTATAATATATATGAAAATATTACTCACAACTTGTATATGGGTAAAAACAACATATTCATAAAAAAATAACATAGTAATAGTGTGACTATAAATGAGTGAGTGAATGAATACGTGAATCAGAGAGCGAGTGAATGAGTGAATATTAACCTGCGGCCAGTCAGCGGCGGGCGTGGCTGCGGGCGACTGCTTCGCTGCCTTTGCAGCGTTCTCAATACTCTCGATGAGCGACTTCACAGACAGACGGGAGTCCTGGCGGCTAACACCTAGAATTATAAGATATATTAATGTACTTAATAACTTTACTATAAACTTTGTATACTATGTACGGTGGTATCCAAAAAGTTGTCTCATTCTTAATAGGCTTCGTTTAAGCCCAAGAAGTGAGAGGTGGTTTTGCTGACGAAAAAAAAGGAATACAGTAGTTACTCTTATTAATATTACAGAAAGAGAAAAGAATAGACGACCTTTTTGTTGTCAAATATCTAGATCACACTAAAGTAAGCCGTTTGCGAACTTTTGGGCATTTGTTGAAGCTTCCTGTTCAGTTAAAGTAACGATGATTGTATTGTGATACCTTTACTACGTCTATGTGAGGCAGCGGTGGCCATGATGTCCTGTAGCGAGGCGCTTGATAGCAGCGGTGGAGTCTGCGGGGGCTCCTCGGAGCGAGGGGGAAGCGCTGAGTACAGAGTTTGAATTATCATCACGTATATCTCACATTAAACTATCTATTTACCATTTAAATGATATGATTTAGCTTCATGATATTTAGCGAACAAATATCATGTTTAGAGAGATTTTACAGGGTTTTTTTAAAGAACATGTATGTACTCGAAACACCGACACCAAAACGAAAGCGATAATTTTAGAACCAATTTTTTTTTTCTTGTTTGTTTCTTTTTGGAAAGGATATTAATATTACAAGAACAATACTCATACTCTGCTTTTGTATGTGTTCTTAATCTTAATAGATATTTTTTTTGCATATATGTAGGCAATTTTTAGATAATATAAATTTATACAACGTCTTATATAACGAAGTTCTTCAGAATCAGTTACTAAGTTACGACACAATTGACACAATCAATGATGAAATATAAGGAAGCGAACAATGACCACAACCGCCCTCCACCATGACAATCTAAAACGACACAAATTATGGCATTACGGACGATTATAGTTAATTACATGGACAGACACACGAGACGATTCGCTAACTTACGCAGCGGTCTGGACGGCGAATGGTTTAGAGATCTTATTGGATGCGAGAGACGCTTGTGCTCCAGTGTCTTCCAATGGTAGCGGGGCAATGACCCCGTTTCTGACTCCATTTTGGGAACATTCTGACTCTGTAGCGATAACTTTCGTAACGGCACCTTGGGTGCGTTCCTTAGCTCTACTTGTGGAGCCTCTAAGCTCTGCACTATTTCTCCAACAGTGCTGCTTGGTCTGTTTTCATTCGCACTCGGTGTCCTTGACAAAGATATGACCGATTTGGTCATCTCTTTGACGACACCTTTTTTATCAGAAGATGATTTTGCCTCGTAAGTTTTCGTTCTTCTCGGTCTTCGTGGCACTTTCAGCATCTCCTCGCGGGGTATGCAGTATAGTTCATCGGGTTTTGAATTCTTTGATAATTTGTCGTCGTCAGCTATATTTTTGGGTGGGTCAGGTGTCATCGGTTGACCGATCTCTTCGTAGTAATTTTCTTGTTCTGTTTCTGTTCTCGATTCATTTTTGGTAATAAACGGATTGGTGTTTCTATTTTTCTGCTGTCCACTTCCCTTGTTCGTTAATGGTTGTGATGAGTTTATGAAAGGCAGGTTATCAATGGGCTGGTAATATTGGTTTTCGACCAAGAATTCTGGGGTTTTGGATAACTTCGCGACGGGCTTTGGAAGTGACATCGGCCCTTTCGTTGGAGGAGATTTTGGTTCAGCAACATTTTCGTTAGAGAACGTTTTCTTTACCGAAAGAAAAGGAAGATGTCTTGATTTAGTATTTTTTAAATATAGACCCCTTTTATTTTCGCCTTCTTTAGGGTTAGAATTAATTTTACCGTTATTTATTACTTGGTCAATATCATCATAGTAAACTTTTTTATTCTCTTTGGTAACTTGGGGTTGTATAAAAGAATTTGGTTTGAAAAATATTGGTTGGATTAAAACTGGGCTAATAATAATTGGACTAGTTGACCGTATATCCGCGTTGAGATTTAATGGAGTGAGAATGGTTTTTACTCTATTATTCACCTTATTCGTTTGAATGTTAGACACATTACTTAATGAATTGTCTTTAGATGGGTCGGGAGTTGCGAAATCTGTGAGTGTATTTATTTTTAAATGATAACTGACGTTATGGTCGATAGCTGTTTTGGTAGTTGCTTGATCTAAGACCGATTGTTCTTCAGTATCAATATCTATTGGTTTTATGTAAGATTCAAACAATTTATCAGTAGTTTCATCTTGAGAAGTGTTCTTTAAATTATCATCTGATAATACATTTGACTGACTTAAAGCTATTGTACTATCTACATTACTGGTTATTGTATTAATAGAATTATTATTTAATTCTTCTTTAACGTGATACAATTCAGTGTCACGTAACTCTGTTAGAGATTGTTTTGTCACAGCATCATCTTTTTCTTTGAAAGTAGATAAAGTTACGATTGGGACTGTATTTTGTAGACTCATATTTTCTTCAAACGACTCAGGAAGTTTTTCAATTGCACTGGGTATATTTGATAGAGATGTCGTTTCTTCAATGATTTGGTTCATGTCATCGTTATTGCCAGATAACCTGTTTAAAGCCGCTTTGAAATTAAATTTCAATTCTTCGCTAACAGCTTTGAAGTCATGTTCAATCGGATCGTTGATAACGGTAGGATTGTTTTCTTTTGTTTCTTTGTCAGGATAAGGATATGGCAGAATGCGTGCTGCCTTCACAACGGGTATTGGGTTGACATCTATCTCTACGTCATCTTCTTTGGAAATGTTTATTGTTTTATTATCTTCGTTATCTTTAACTTCGGGTAAGTTATTATTTTTTTCTACGTTATTCCAAAATACATTATTGGACCCCTCACTAAACAAGGAACTTTCGCTAACGTTATATGTATCGCATAAAAACTCTATACTAGTAGCCTCTTTTAAAGCGTTTTTGAATTCAACGTCTTTGTTAAGATTATCTGTACTGTACGATTTTGGTTTACCGTTAAGTAATTCAGATCGATCCCTATTAAAAATATTTCGTCCTAATGGTATTAAATTACTAGATTCCGAATTGCATTTTAATTTATCTTTCTTTGGACTAATGAGATCATCAAAGGCGTTTTGTCGACTAAGTTTTCTATTGGAAATATAAATAGCATCCTGTCTTTTTAACTTTCGTTCATTAGGTCTGATTTCTGGAAGTGAATCTGATTTCTCAAGATTCGTTCTATAATCATCATCGTTAGTCTCATCAGTAGTAACATTATCGATATCAACTTTGAACTCCTTCGGAACGTTAACTTTGAAGAACGCTTGATCAACAAGACTTACATCTTTCAGTTCATTAACGCTATGAACTCTGGACAAGTACCTCGTCCTTATATTTTTAAACACATCTTTAGAACTATCGCTATGCGAGTCCAAACTCTCAGTGTCCGTTGATAATGTTTTTCCGTCGTTCGAATTTTGTGCGCTATCCTTAGATTCTTGTCTGTCAACACCTGTTTTGGTACATTAAATTATAATTAGATATATTTACATGTACATCGCGAGATGACATTGTTAGTTCTATACAGCAACTACATCTGAAGCCTTACATAGAATTAGTGCGTGATAATGTAGTTAATACTACTCCAATCGATTTTCTCATAATTAAACATGCTACTTTTGAATTAACAGAGAACGATTAAATATATATTTTTCAAATAACCAATCAATACACTGACATCACAGCCATTTGGATTCGAGATATTTAAAAACTTATCGACGCAGCTACTAACATGCTTCCATCTCTGTCTATCTCCTTCTATCTCTTACCTTTAAGCGAATGTATCTGATCTTCGAGTAGTCGTATACGATCCCTGGCGATCTTATTCTCAGATACAAGTCGCTCCACCTCTCTCTGGGCTTCTGTTTTGAAGTCGTTAGCTACTCGAACCGTCATCAATAAGTCACTTTGGTATTGCTTCCATTCAGCTTCCTGTATAAAATGTACATTGAAATATTTACATATTATAAAATTTAACTGCTGTTGAATACAAACAGCAGAATAAGATATATAAGATTTGAAACATAATGATCTTTCATTGAAAGAAGTTTAATCTTATCATAATTTATTAATAGCTTACTAATATATCAAAATATCAATTCTAATAACATCCATAGACTTAACGAAAATATACTGTGATATAATGAGATAGGTATAGTTAGGAAAATCAATGTATACAAACATCTCTATCCCTATCTCTTGTTATAGTAGCGAGCCTGGCGCGTGTATCAGCGAGCTGCCTCTCGAGGTCCGCAGCGCGCGCCAATGATTCTCCCGCACGACTCATCAGGGACAACTTTTCATCAGAGGCTACCTGAACCTGAATTTTAATGAAATTTAAATAAATATAAGCGTAATTGAACGATTTCTTTGTTTGTAACAAATTAAATATTCCGTCACATACCATACAGCATGTGTCATGATTTTTTTTAAAACAAACAGAGAATTTGATATAACATTGATTTTTGCTCGATTGACATAAGCTTGTAAACTCATCTACATATCTTAACATGGTTAAGAATGTTGAGGTACTTAATTTTAATAATAACTTAGTATAAATAATATAGTATTTTAATGATAGACACATATTAACTATACTTGAACTGTAGATCAATTTTAAACTACACTATTTATAAACATACTAGCTTTCCGTCCGCAGCTTCGCCAGCATGGAGTTGGGTTAAATCGCATTTCCAAGAGAACCTTTCAAAAGTCTGGGATAAAAACTATCCTATGTTCCTTCTCAAGGTCAACTCTATCTCAGTACCAAATTTAATTAAAATCAGTTCAGTGGTTTAGGCGTGAAAGCGTAACAGACAGACAGACAGAGTTACTTTCGCATTTATCATATTAGTAGGGATGCATAAAAATGTATCGCAGGTTATGTTTTAATCAGTAACTCATCGTACTTGTATCTGCAGCTCAGCACAGTTCTCCTGCATGGTCCTCAGCTCAGTCTGAAGGGCCGTTTTCTCCTGACGAGCCTGCTCTAGCTGGAACTCAAGCTCAGAGATCGTCGACTTGGCATTGTTACGAGACACCTGAACATATATACCGGGTCTTCATAACCATATCATATATAGGATATTATAGAACATATATATGACGTTCGTAATCGTATCTCACATCTCAGTATTATATTAATTGCATGATGCATAGATAATAAATTTGCATTGTGCTAAAGCGGTCATGTACTAACGAGTGCATCATCGTGTAGCTTGCGAGCGTCCGAGTGTGCTCGGTCCAGTTGCCTCTGTGCATGAGCTAGTCTCTCTGCGAGTGTGTGAGCACGCGCCGCCGCAGCGTCCGCGTCACGCCGAGCCGCCGCCGCCGCCGCGCACTCCGCCGCCGCAGCGCCCTCTGCCGCACCCGCCAACTACAACACATATGACATAATACAGTTCTATAATTATATAATCACAACATATGCCATTATATACCTAATGAAAGCTTTTCAATGCTAAACACATTTCCACAGATATGTAATAAAAGGAGATTCGAATAAAGAATCATTTTTATATTCCAATAATTTATATCGAGATGAGTTAATCACTAATCATTAGAGCATTTAATTCTAGTATGTATAACCGTATCGTTTACCGGTACTTAACCGGTATCACCGGTGTCTCAAGTGACCATCAATAAGAAAGTGTAATGTTTCTATATTGAATAAAGTTATTTGAGTTTGAGTTTACCTGAGCCTGCGCAGCGGCCAGTAGTTCCCCGAGCGTGGTCACCTGATGTTGTCTCGCGGCCGCAGCATCCCTCGCCGCGCCCGCCTCCTGCTCCCACCTAGCACGCTCAGACTCCGCACGCTCCACACTACACTCCAGAGACCTGGTGAACAAATTATTACTTACATTATTATTATATAAAAATATACATCTTTGTATGGATAATAATCTTATAAAGAACGAACGAACACCAAGTCGTGTGAACCAGAAGATTCCTGATACCAAACAAGCAATGCCATGGCATTGTTATCTTAACATCGGAGCAATCATGTAGTCTTATATAATATGTAATTCTTATTAAGTATACATATAAGTAACTTTCATAGTTTTCCTGGAACCTCATGCTGTCAGCCCTACATAATTTGATAAATACATCATTTCAATAATATGTGTCATATACATAATGGAAGTTATATATATAATTCTTCTGTGAGTGTGTATGTCACTGAACTTCTTTCAAACGACTGGATCGATTTTGATGACATTTTTTGTGTGTGTTCCAGGGGATCTGGGAATTGTTTAGATTCACAATTTTGTCCGCTGGACAATGTGTTTTTAATTTATTAGTAGTAGTTGATACAAACGTTTTTTTTTACATTAGATTTGACAACTAACTAATATGTCAATCATTCTGTCGCACTTCAGAACACGGAGATTTATGGCTTTAATGGGTAAACTCCAAAAATATAAATAAAAAAACGTAATAGATATTTCTTGATTATAGGGCGATACGAAGTTCGCCGGGTCTTCTAGTAAATATATATTATCGTATCTCACCTTATTCTTTCAGACAGTGTTTCTATTTCTTTAGTTTTCTCCTCCAGCGCTGCCTTCGACTCGGTCAGATCGGCTTCCAGTTGCTCTTGCTTCGTCAGTAACAGACGACGTTCCTCTTGAGATACCTGTTATAGACATATATATGTAATGAAATGGCATTGACAATGACATTCATTAATTTAAATTCGCCTTTGGAGTGGAGCGTGCTTGAATGACGGTTGATGTTCATATTATTTTTCTGTACATTATCCCTACTAATATTATAAATGCGAAAGTAACTCTGTCTGTTACGCTTTCACGCCTAAACCCCTGAACTGATTTTAATGAAATTTGGTAGAGATATACAGTTGACCTTGAGAAAGAATATAGGATAGTTTTTATCCCAGACTTTTGAAAGGTTCTCTTGGAAACGCGATATAACCGAACTCCACGCGGGCGAAGCTGCGGGCGGAAGGCTAGTATTACTATAAAAACGTGTATAAAGATATTAGTGAACTATAAATCTAGTTTCTTTGTATTTTCCAATAAGTTGAAAATGTTCATAGTATAGTTAAACGATAATTTGTAAAGGTGATTTAAATAAAACATATCTAGTTTAATTTCATAATCCCCATCAATATATCTTATTTATATACCTAAATAAATATATAATTACTATAGGTCGATATTGAAGACTGTAGGAAGTTATAAACTTATCTATGTACATAGTATGTTAATAACCTTTAACACAGCCAGTAACTGTTGGTCCGGATCCCCAGAGACGACAGTCTCCGGCTCCACACCCTCACGCATCAACAGCTCCTGTAGTGTGTCCACCTAAAGAATACATTATAATTATTATTATAAAAACATTACATTTACGTATCAAGCAATAACTAATCTTCTTCTTCTTCTACCAGGCAAATTCCCAGCTTAAGCCAGGGTCTGCCGTACATGTTGTGAATAGTTTTGTCTAATTGTTTTTATGACCGGCCGCCTGCCTGACATCAACCCTCTTTGGGAATGCATTAATCAATAATGTCTAATTGCTCTTAGTACATATGACTCGGAAAAATCACATTGGTACTTGCCAGTATCGAACCTGTGCTCTCCGGCATGATTGGCGGGCCATTTAACCACTAGGCCACATAATAATTAATACTGTTCAAATAATTTATTAATTTATATCGTCAAATTCCAATAACACGTCCAGACAAAGTGATCATAAAAACAATTGGAACGGAATTAATGTGTAGTTTCTTCGCACCATCCATATTTAAGACCTAAATAGTAAATATCAAAGATGATATTTGAAGCACATGAAATTAGTTGCTAATGAATTATAGTAACAGTATAAATGCCACGCATTTTAAATATAAATGCCACGCGTTCACTATCTTCTTCGTGTTTTAAAAACTTTATTTAAACATCTATGGCTTGAAGTATTTTATCATCTGTATGACGAAAACTCGTTTTTTCTTCCATGCTGCTGAAGAATCCAAATCTTAAAATACTCTGTAAAATTCTGCTTCGTCAATCTGTTTGTTAGTTTGAAAAATGAAGTTGTAGTTAAAAAAATATACATGTCTATTGTAATATATTTCTAAACGAACTTTCTCATGGACTAAATAAGAATTTCTTTATGAAGGACATGAAAACTATAGGTACGTATTAAAATGTCTGAATTTTGATATTTAAGATTTTCGAGAATACACATTTTAAATGGAGATACGTTTTAAGGTATGACGAAGCAGTTTTATTTTTACATTCTCCCTACAAAACTTCACTTTCATATCGTCTGCTTGTGGTCACGGTTGCTGTAAGTGTAAACAAATCGAAACGTCGGGAAAATGTGTATTATTTTATCAAGTTTTTTTGTAATTTCTGAGTTTCTAACGATATTTTTGATGGACTTTTATTTTCAACTTGGATTATTATTTTAAATTGAAATCGTATTGTAATAGTCACAGTCTTCTTTGAAATTTTCTCGCAAAATATCCTGGCTAAAGCTGGGAAATTGCCAGGTAGAAGAAGAATGTAACCAGCTGTTAATTGACTCAAATGCTTTATACAGGGTGACTGGTGAATTACTATCAATATTTAAGGAGCATACTCGGTACATGATTCTCATTCGAATTATGTAAAAAAAATAGGTACTTAATTTTTGACCAAATTTCCGTATAAATAAATAAAGTGTGTACACGTTCCAAGTGTTCCGAGTGTGGGCGCGTGTGGCGGCGTGCTGATACAACACTATGCCGCCGCCGCGTCTGTGTGAGTGTGTGTGTATACCTAATCTGTAGGGTGTTCATACGATGCGTAATTAATTACACAACTTTTGGTTAACTTTACTTAGAAGTTTATTAATATTTATGTTATATTAATTTTTATTTTGTCATATATGATCGTCAAATATCACGTCCTCAAATATCAATAGTAATTCACCAGTCACCCTGTATATTAACTTTTTTGTACAATGCGGTAGTTTGCAGATTTGAATGACATCACATATCTATACGACAGCCTTAGAAAATATAGGAAAATCAAGTAACATTCAATTCATTATCTCATGATCCAAACGAGTAAGAACCCAATTTAACCCTAATTTAGGAAGGGTGTTCCCTATTAATTTATATATAAAGTTAACAAAACATATATGTCAGCGACTTTTAATAATTTAATGTTAAAAGACAGATTATTAGAAAAATTTTGATAATCTGTAGTTTAATTTTTTCAGGATTCTGTACATAATGTGTCAGTGGATTTTATACTATGTCAAAAATTAGTATGAAGCTATGGAAATAAATTTACAAAGTAACTCTAATTAGAGTGTAATCAACATTTTTTTTCCTAAAAGGTAATAAAATAGACCAAGAATATTGCCCTTGACCCTTACCTCAGAGGGTCATCCTAGTGAAGTCAGATTATTCAAGTAAATCTTTTCTATTTCATAATTCAGTAAGAGGCTATAAAATCATTCGCAGTGCCACATACAAGATAATAATTCAGTTCAAACATTAATTACTGATGTTTCACACAATCAAAGGCCTTAGTTAAATCGCACACACCTTTTTTTTTTAATTTCTCTCATTCCTCGTATATTTTGCATAAGAGCCGCGGCACCCACATCAGTTGTTGATCAACCTTTGGTGACAAAAACTCTTTATTGTGAATGATAATTTGACTGCAAACAAAGTCTCAAACGAAATTAATTGTTTCAAAAATGTATATTTTCTGTTTACTTCCAAAATACATAGCATCCACCGATCCGAATTTATTTTCATACTGTTACTAGAAAGAACTTCTTAATCAATAATAATTTGGGTTACGTTAGTCCAATATATTTGAGTTTTTTCATCATATTAAATATGAAATATTTTGAATTTAAAATTATAATTCTTATATGGGCTTTAATAGGAAACAATAATCCTTGAAATGAATCATTATAATTCCTTGCTGTATTTCGTAACACTGGCTCGTGATTCCATTGCCTCATACCATAGAATTCATATAATTTGTCTTTAAACAGAATTGTCACAGTCGGTCAACCACAGCGTATACAAGCAATGAATTTTATCTCTAATTGTATACATTATCATGAATTTTGATAATATGTATTAAAAACAATTGTTTGTAACAAAATTAAAACACTTTTTAATGGCTAACAATACAATCGATAAATTATAGTCTACATTGATTGAATATTGATGATTTGATGTTATATAAGAGACTAACTCTAAATAAATCCACATCAAAAATTTTCTATTTGAAAAGGTTTAACAATCCATGTAAATCTTCACCATATTCCTCTGTTGAAATAAATATAGATTAGATGTTATGATATATTTATTTCGACCTACCTTAGTTCGACTGTCCTCTAGTTTCTCAGTCTGACGGCAGAGTGACTCCAGTAACACTTGCTTCTCATCGGAGAGTCGTTCGTTGTCGGCGTGAGCGTCGGCCAGCTGTGACTGCAGGTCGGCCAGTTCGGCCAAAGTCGCCTGTAATTCCTCACTCGTGCTAGAAAATTATATAGTTAAGTCAGAATATGCCTTACATCATTATGACATGCTATATGTTGTATAAATTTAATATCATATTGAAGCCCTTCATACGATTTGATACAGTCTAAGCCACTAACTGTTTCTTTTATTCTCCTTGGTGTTCTTAAATGAGGATGAAAAACCTCAATGAGGTACGTTCTATCCCGTTATATAGTATACCTGTAGTGATGTTCCTCCATCTGCAGTATACGGTCCTGCAGACAAGCCACCGACACCTCGCTCAGAGACGACGAAGAGTGTTTATCCCACTCTGGAGTGCTCGCTTCTCCGCTATCACCCTCGCCCTGAACACACGCCCAACATTACACAATATTAAGCATCGTTTTCAATTGATAGCTTTTGGACTATAACACCACTTTTTATTCTTTCTATAGTGACTAAATCGATGATCATACATTATGCGCGAGTGCGATGGAGGCTGGTGCAGATGAGTGCATTCTCCTCGGTGTTGGTGCCAGCAGCAGCTGTCTCTTCTCGCTATCAGACAGCGGTGAATGCGCCACACCCCTCAGTCTCGCTCGCAGAGCACCGTTCTCGTCAGCCAAACGCTCTAGAGCTGAGTTCCGCTCGGCTTCTTGGTTCTGTAATATTTTGGATTTTAATAAGAGAATAAACGTATATATCATTGATATTTCTTAAGTAAAAGAGAAGATACTGTATGATAGTATCATACCTTAATACGTTCAAGTTCAGCCCGAAGTCTGTCAGCCTCGTTGGCCCGCTCCAACAGCTCGTCCACGCGGGCTTGCAGCTGCACGCGTTCCATCGTCACCGTCTCCAGATCTCGGCGAAGAGATTCCAGCTCTCGCACTCCCGATGTTAAAGACGCCTTTCATAACAATATTACATTTATAATTAAATGTTGGATATAGAAATAAACGTATATATGTATATACATATAATTCGTGAGCTCATCTCACCTCTGACGGTATCCTGGTCCGCAATTCGACCTCCTGGAAGCCAGACATGTGATCTGCGTTCAACATCACTGGCAGGCTGATACACTCTTGTGACCCTCTCCCGTCTACGGAACCCGTCCCCAGTTCCTCAGAGCTACCGTACTCATGAGTCCTGATATGCCCATCCTCATACCCTTCCAAGCCTTCCCGCAACTCGGGGTCTTCTAGTACAGCATTGTTATTACCCAAATCTTTCTTTTTGTGCGCCTTGTTCAACTTCTCTTTGGATCCGAATATCTTGATAGTCTTCTCTCTCGCCGGTGCTACTTTGTGATGTTTCGAATCTAGGCTGGAGACAGACGGGGCGCCCTTGAGGGCTGTTTCTTGCTTCCCTTGACTTGGTCCTCTACGGAACAATGATTTGAACTTCATCATCTTGATGCTTTATATCATAATCGTTTTCGTTTCAATGTTTGAATGTGTTTGCATTTCTAACGGCGAGTGTCCGCTGTTGTGATCGGAATTATTAACGCCGTTGTTTAGTGTCTGGATGTCCAAATTGAGTTATTTTACGTGATGGTAAAGCCGTAGTCAATGTGAAAGTCTCATGGGAGTTATACGATTTAAATAAGCATATAAGGAAATAGAGAGTTGATTTGAATACCCCATCAAGTCAAATAAAAGATATTTATTTAAAAGTTGCTAGGTATTACAATACTAAATTATGGTTATTGTATAGAGTTTTCTTTATTATTTTACCATTGTACTTATTTAAAAACTTGTTTGTGTGGTTAACTTTCAAATTTGTACTACGGTAATAGTTTATAAGACCATAAATAAAGTTAATTGTGGCGTGGATTGTGATATGGTTTATAGAAAATACAAACTTATTAAAAACGCTGCAATTGCAGGACGAATTAATTGATACTGAGTCATCTAATTTATATCACGTTTCTCGTTATATTAATTAAGACATACCGGTAGGTTGTAGGCTGAATATTAAATCATTACCCTTAACATAAGTTTGCATCAACAAACTAAAAACGTACAGTCTCCCGTTTTTACTTTATAAATATTCATAACAGTACAACGTGGACTGTGAAACAAGGGAATCGAATTATCTGTCATAAAGATCGATAATTCATATGTCTATTAACTAGTAATCCCCATGAAACATGCAAATGCGAGGGACGGCTGACCACACCCCTTATCGGGCCATATCACCAAACCATTGAATCGCCACCGTAATTGTTATGAATAACGCCATTGTAACGTGATACGAGAACATTTCACGTTTCATACACTGCACGGTAATATTTTGTTGACACTTTCATAATGATTTTGTTATATAAGCATAACAAACAAAAGTTCATAGTATAATATTGTTATTATATAAAATATAATGCTATTTTTATATTGCCTTATATTTATATCTATTCAAATACTTTCGAGATACAAATTTCCTTTTAAACTCACAAATAACTATCGTATTAACTATGATTGATTATAAATCGATCGTTCGTTGTAAGAAAGTCATTCAAAAAGATCCAAAAACTTGATATAATTGATAAATCTTGAACATCATATTTGATATGTTTCTATCATTACGGAATGGCATTCCAAGATCGGAGGGATCGTCGGTAGGGCGACAGTGAATTCGCGGTTTAATTACTCACAAGTACATTACTCATTTAAATTCAAAATGTTACTGTATTTTGCTCTGTGAAATACCGAAATCTTGAATTCCCGTATGACGTTAGTAAATTTTAAAATATCCCAATTGATAAGTCAGTTTTATATTAAATAATTTTAAACGTATTAGTTCATGATGATGATGATGAAACGTATTAGTTACTCATTGTATCGAATAAATACAGTGATCTTTAAAAATCTTTTTTCTGAATAAAATTGACGATTTTTATTTATTTTCAAAACAACAGTCATAAGTTTCACATACTTATAGAAAACCTCATTTATACATCGTAAGCCTAGTAAGGATTATTTCTCAAAACAGTGTTGCCATATTTTTACCAAAATTAAACTTATCGACATTTTATCCTGACAACGATTGATTTTATGGCCATCCTAGGATAGGCGAGGGTGAATGACCAGCCATGGCCGCGTGGCTCCGTCAGATCGAATATGGTAGCTTGGATTTCAATTTAATACAATTATTATTTATCATACTCACTGCACTCACAATTCGTTACAAACTAAACACAAATCCGACGTTCCATACATACTTTGTCGTTCTATTTTATGACCATAGTTATTTTCCTCTACAAGTATTGTTTATAAAAAAATCTCGTCGTACGATAGTAATGTAAATATATTAATAATAATCATATTCACAGTACCGAAATAGCAAATGTAGGTCGTACCCAATTACCATATCTATCTACATACCAACACTAACCACTTATAGTATAATTTCATAAAAACAATTCGACATATAAACCCATTTACGAACGACTACACGTTAGAACCGAATTTATATTCACGCCATATGACAGGCATACATTTTAACAAATCTAACACGACCTTGTGTGATACTTTAGAAGACAGTTAATATGAAAATTAATGAATACAATATCAAGATATATGAATATCTTCTACATATATAAAAATGGATTGCTGTTCCTTAGTCTCGCTAAAACACGAGAACGGCTGAACGGATTTATCTTATCTTAGTCTAGAAATGTTCGTGGAGGTTCAGGGAAGGTATAAGGCCTCGGCCTCGAATCTCGCGGGTAGCGGGGCGGCAGCGGCGGCGGCACGAAAACGCATACATTTCTCCGTGCCCCCTCCCCTCTAGTTTGGAGAATAGTATGCGTTTCCGTGCCGCCGCCGCTGCCGCCCCGCTACCCGCGAGATTCGAGGCCGAGGCCTAAAAGCTGAAAAAATTGATTCATTACTGGGAAAACCATAAAAACAGCCCTTTTCTATTTCCCATACAAACGTTTTTTTGAACATTAGATTTGATAATTAATATGTCAATGATTCTGTCACACTTCAAAACACGGAGATTTATGGCTTACAGGTAAACTCCAAAAATATAAATAAAAAAACGTAATAGATATTTCTTGATTATAGGGCGATACGAAGTTCGCCAGGTCTTTTAGTCTAATATAAGGATTGAACGAACACTTTCAATATTTCAATCTAATTTCGAAGTATTACCGACCAAATCCATTTAACCGTTCGAACCAGACAGAATAAAAAGAAAAAATGCCGTAACTTTAAAATCTATAAATACGTAATAATAATTACGTAAAATATAATTATGATGCATGTATACAATGACAATACAAATGTTTCCATTGCTCATATAATATATTAATATAAAAGCAGACGTTGAATTCGATAAGATATTAAAACGTCTCGGTCATAATCGAAAATGAGTACTCAAACTAGCGTGAGATTTATTATTCCTCTCCCTAACATTGTTTACAAATATCATTTACTTTGTAAACTTTCATTTTATCGAAGATTTAACTTTATGTTCGCTACAAAGGGAAATGGGTCATTTGGTTTTAGAGCATACATTTAGTATTGTATCACAATAAAAATAAATTAGGATATTCATATCGGCTTTGTGTGTTATTTGTACGACGTACCACAATTGTAATGTCTGCACATTGTAACTCATTTACCTAAAATTTAATACAGTTTGAAACAGATTGAAGGCGGTCTTTGGGAGTTGTAAATTTTTTGGCATCAATACATGATGGAACACGATATCCGTCATTGTCTTTCAAAAGAAGGACGGCTATTAAAGAAATAATAATGGCGTCTATGCATTCAAGGCGAGTGAATTTTGAAACACCAACATAATGATACCACGGCTCCTAAGGTCGGACCTTTATATATATTATTTTGTAAAAGAAAGAAACATCATGTACAAAGAAATTATATTTGACGTCTAATTATACTATAGTAGTCTCTCACACGATATACGGAATACTATTATAAAAAAATGTTGAAAACAAGATATATTGTTAAAAAAAAATTACAAATATGTACATTCAGACACCGAGAAAAATAGCTACGCACGATTAACAAATATAAAATATTTATATACATATATTTTTCCTAATAATAAGGATTTAGATTTCATTATAAAAATTACGTTCGCTTTTAATAATAATAACTCTGTACAGTACATACTTAGTTTATAGTTTATTTTAGCGTACCACAGACACGGGATGTATTAGTCGAGACGGTATAAAAGGTTACAAACACAACCGGCGCCATTTAATTTCTATATAAGTCACTATGTTCTTTATTATCTTATATATATGATAAGAAAAGTATCAGTATTTTTTATTAATTATCGGTTATCAGTGACAATTTAATATAAATGTTGATTCAGAGGATATTAATGAATCCATACGAGACTCAGATGTTTTTAATTAGTCTTGTTTAAGAACTTATTAATAGGACCTCTTTAATAATGGCATAAATATTAATAATTACATTTCTTTACAGCTATATCATTAGTCATTAGTCTTTCTAAGATATCGATAAATTCCATAAACTCAAAAACCAACGTACTTAGAATACTATATTAGGTATTATACTTTAATATATTAATGAACCTATGAGGGAATGAAATTGATTTTCAAAGCCATTTCTTTATTACGTATAAAAAATATATGAAGAGCACCTCTTTAAAAGATACTTAAGTAGCCAGTTTAAATTATGCTAAATTACTTAAACTTCTACTAAATCATATTATAATTGTCCATAACGAAATAAAACTAAAATGTTTTTTGTGAAATACCCGCATATTTAGAAACAGTAAGGGGCATGTGAGGTCTATTGCCACGTTCAAGACACTCCATCCCTATTGTTTTCACATATATACTAACTTAACTCTTATATCCTAATAATGCCATGATGAGAAGTTTTACAATACAAGGTAGCGTTAGCGTCTAGTTTTTGTGCACTTTTTACGTCATGGGAGAGTTACCATTGTTTAATATACCATTGTTCATTTTTTTAATACCTTCCTATATTGTATGTTCCGCAAAGAATCTCACATGAATTTATTTTTATAATAAGCATATATATATTGTATAAATAATGTTGTTAACGAAGGAATCGTTCTAGAAATCATTAATATATTAATATTATAGAACATACATTAATTTTATGATAGTTAAGCTGCGTCATATCCGATAGCAACCAATAGGCTGTATACGATAACATTGTTTGTCCAAGTGCGATCCAAGGATCTGTTTCAGTTTCCAATAACAAGGTTAGGCGACTGTGGTTAACTCACCAGCCAATATGAAACAATTCGATATATACATATAATTATTCATTTTAGGTAAGGTTATTTTCCTCGTTCGCATTTCAAAGTTCTGTCCATTTTATCGCATTGTGACGCATCGAGTCAATTATTTAATCTTTCATTAAACATACGCTCGGCAAAATTAATTAGCGTTACATATTAGGTATATTCTATAATGAATGAATCTTTATATTACCTGTATTATAATAAATAATTTGTTACATATACTTTTATTACATAAGTTTTCATAACTACTAAAACATACGTCATTGAAATGAAAAAGAATGGCTGCTTATTTTGTTCTCTAGAACGTCATCAATTTTATTTATTCTATTTATAAGGCGTCGATGAATAATGTTCTTCTGACAGTAATGTAAGGAACGCTTAGCATATTTGAATATTAATTTAAGCTTAATTATTAAAAATTCTGATCATCATCGATGTGTTAACAGCTAGTAATTCACGCATAGCTTGAACAGTTGTCACAAACTTATTTACAGACGGCAATCGCCATGTTTGTGGAACAAAAAGTAAATGTCGCGACGTTTCCAACCAGTTGAGAAACGTCGGTTTTCTTTTTAACCTGATTTTCGAGTTCTATGTTATTTATATAACCAGCTAGTTGAAAAACATTGAATTGAATACGTATAAGATAGATTTTATATATCTACAAATTCATTATAAGTTCCTATAACATATATCCTTTCATGAGACCTGTCGGACGTAGCATTGGCACCGTTAAAGTATTCCTTTGCGACTTTGGAATACTAATGAAAATGCAGTGACTGCCAAAGCCTTTTATATTAGACGACTGTAAAGCAACTAATTATCACACACATAAGAATGTCGTATACGAGTGGAAAATAAAAGGAATTACGTGACAAGATACAATATATGAAAAAGAAAATATGTTGGAATATATATCTTGATAGCAATTTTCGTTTTTAGGAAAATTCATCATATTAAATTTGTTAAACTCATTTCATGATAACGCACGAAAGCAAAATTGAAATTTCGCAATGCTACGGTGGACTATGCTACTCGTCAAATGCATCTCACAGATATCGCAAGATTTACTTTGAAATTTTAAATACTTTACATCTATATTGGTTATAAGTCAAATAAGTTGTAAAAGTCCAATTACCAAATACAAAACCCGCATACATCCTATATACCCCCCTTTATGGAGTTAAACCAGATTCAATGACCAACTACGTACATTGAACTATCAGGTTACTAGAATTACATTACTAATCGTATGTCAAAACATCCATGAAGTATAAACATCTATAATAAACAGCATATTAAGGCCGTTAAAAAGATTACATTGTTTATAAATAAAGATTTTTTATCTTATAATTTAACTTTAAATCATCTGACAGACTATATTCTACATATAAGAACAGCGTTGTACAGCAACCACCAATAAACGCATTTTTAGTACAAAATATAGTGTAACTTTAAAGCATCCATCAGTTATGGAATAAAATGTTTTTTTTTTTGTGCCAAGCAGTTCTAAAGAGCTATGTTATTTGAAATAAACTTTTTGCACAGAACCATTAGAATATATTATCTTTATATATAAATACAATATTTCCCAGTAATTTATCAACAAATTTTGAAGATTGGGCCGTGTTCTGATAACAAATATATTATTTTTATACATAATACTTTCTCACATTACTTATCTCTGCTCCGTTAACGACTTGGAAAACTAAGTTTATGGTCAAATGAAATTTCTCCTTGTCCATTCCTTTGAGGTACAATTTACAGTAGGTAGGTATTATAAAAACTTTTTTGTTTTGTATTAACTACTAATTAAGTATGACTTGTAAGTTTTTTATTTAGACAATGTTACGTGGAATTGATGTGACCTTGAAATGACAGTATTCATCAAAGACAATTTATCTTAATTACGTTAAAACTAAATAATAACATCTTATCTTTAGATTTATGCAAATCCCACAATCATATAATATATAACGCTAAACTATTGTACTATAAAGAATGATAAAAATTCTTAAAATACGAAATATTTAAGGATTATCCAAGACTTATGCAAATTAAAGAGATGAACGAAAATAAATCTTCAATAAGTTAACCGCTACTTTTTTTATAATATTGAAGTAATTTCATTACGTCTATACGGGATATAGACACACATAAAACACATTTCGGAACATTATGTTATAGTATATTTACTCGAGAAAGCGAGTAACCAGACACTAAGCAATTTTTGTAACATCTACAGAAGTATAAGGACGCCAGACACTAAACACACAAAAACAGAAAATAAAGCATACTATACGTTAATATTTCCGATCACTGACACATAAACACACCATAGTAAAAAAAAAGTTCGTTTCGTTTTTTTAAAAGTTCGAAATATAAAACACCGGCAGTCGGGACACGTCCGCGGCCAACCGTGGCAAACAAACTTGCTTCGTTATTTAGTCGTTTAAAATGTCTGATCGTACATTTCTATCTATAATACGGCTCCTTTTGAGACATAGCATTCAAGACGTTCTACCTAAGCAAAAGCAACGTATTAAAAGTTGCCGTATAATACTTCGACAAAAACATTATTCCCTTACGATAGAGACGACACTAACTAAAAGTTCCTTAGTATAAAAGAGACAGCTATATATGAAAGAAGGCAGGTATAATTCACCATCACGTGTGAATCCGTTTCGTATGATTTGTACAGTCTTATGAAAACCAATTGTATTTCCAAGGAGTGAAGATCTATTTTTGCAAAACTATGATGTAGATAAAGCAAATAACCTTTATTTTGGCGGGAACTAACGCTATTTAAAAAGTTGGTATTATTGGTGGGTTTTTATTTACGAATTTTGAGTATGAAAAAAAATTGTTTCCTTTTTTTTAATTTAGTACTGTTACTTACCGCACATTAAGGAATGAATACTTTTTCTCCTTTAATATGTTCGCATTTGTCCAAACACTATTGTTATTCAGATGCTTCTCTCGCTTTAACTTCACTGTTGCTAAAGCCTTTGGTTTTAAAGTTGGAGGTAAAATAGACTCAGATGGTTCCAAGTCGGGTTTCAAGGGTGCTGGACCTTTTTTGATTATTTTAAGCACGTTGGAACTTAATTCATTCTTTGAGCTTTCTCCTAAATTTGTTTTTGCGGAGTCGGCACTAGCTAGTTTGGCTCTAAGAGGTCTAGAAGGTTCTGAATGCTTCTCGGGTCGGTTATAGACGCCGTTGTCCCTAATCAGTCTTCTGACTCTTGTTTCCGCCTGCGGAACTATACGCAAGGAAATTATTTTTATAATATTAACGTAGTTTACATTACACATTTTGTTGTCACTATAACATCCTTAAAATATTTTAACATTATCTCAATGAGTTGAATTTTATATTTATAAAGACGTAGTATTGTACATTTTTAATTGCATTTTGTGGCGACAGAAACTTTAGTACATTGATTTGTACTTTTTGAAATTTAAAAATTAACGTATTCAAAAACATAACTCTCAACTATTTAATACCTGTTCTTGGTCTGTTTCTAGTTACAGGTTTTGTCTCCGCGCCGCCTATTTTTGTAGTTTCCGAAACTGACTTTGAAGAAGTGGAATGGGATACCGCCTTGTTGCGCGAACTGAAGGTTGCCTTAAAGAAATTAGCCCCAAAAGATTTGCAGTTCCCTGAAGTTTGCTGGCTGTATAGAAAATAATAAATATTTAAAATAATATTTCATTGATACAAAATAAAGTCTGAGGGGACACCCGGGTTTGAACCGGGGACCTCTCGATCTGCAGTCGTATGCTCTACCACTGAGCTATATCCCCGATAGGACTAATTTACGAAAGTTAACATATAAAATCTAGATACAGTAGCGACACCTAACAATTGATTATACTTGTATTTCTCATGTCGGAAAATAGATGGCGTTAATAGTAAGAAGAAACAAATTTAAGTAACTTATCATTTATCAACCAATCATTACAAATTGTATTCTATTTTATACGACCAATAGTGTACTTACCGCTCCTTGACACTAGTAGGCACCTCTGGCGCCTGCCGATGCATAACCTCCTCGATCTAAATTTGACAATGAAAACAAACATTAGATATCATCAAACAATTTATCCAAATCTGCCTAATGTTTTTTAACAAAGTCGCAATATGTTATAAACCCACATTTTCGCAACTAACGAACCGTCTTATACGTGACATAACTAATTACTGCACGAAAATTGCACTAATGTGTATAAGAACCCTCAATTTCTTATCTTAAGCATCAGTATCATTATTGATTAGTTTTAGTTACCACGATAAAGTTATATTGTCTCGTCTTTCTGACTCCTGTCCACATAGCTCCAATGTTATTCACAACCTTTACTTTTACCAATACACGAAGCAAAACAAGCTTTTTTGCAACTTTTTAATCTCAGTTTATGTGATTGATTTCAATAATAATTGATTGAATAAATTGTCATAATTCAAAAAGTTTTTATATATATCTATTATTTTATAGTTTTAAAATTAATTTATAAATAAACATCCAGTGTTATCTGTGGGTGAATTTTCTGGTCTCTTATTAAAAAACATCAAATTATAAAATGCATAGTTTCATTTATAAAAGGAATATTTTGCTTAAGTAAGCTTTTTAACCTATTGTCGTGTTTAGAGGTTCGAATAAAATGTCCCTATATGATGTACATTGATTTGAAAAATGTTGAACTTAGACATTAAAGGTCTTAAAAAAGACTATCTAATGATAAAGTCATTTTCACAACAGAAAACAGTTGAAATAATATAGCAATAGTGGAAATCATTACATCAATTTTATTTAGGTACATCTGAAATGTCAGTGGATTAACATGCTATAGAACAAGGAAATTATATCATGTGATCTTTTAATTTAAAATTATATAAATACTTTTTTGTGAATTTCCTGACAATCTACTGAAACACGAATAAATTTATTTATCTTATCTATGTATATTGGTACAATTTTTGTTTATAAATAGGGTGATAACAGACGTAATATATTTGTATGTGAATTTCGATTCTTAAATGTATTATAGCGCTAAAAGAGGTCTATTACAGACTTCTTTTCTGTACATTATAGTTTAACATGTAATAAATCAATGTTTTACAGCAGTGACAAAAGTGCCCTTAGGCTGTTCTAATAACACAACATAAATTAATCCCGAAGATAGTAAAGAAATATAGAATGACTAGCTTTCTGCCCGCAGCTACGCCCGCGTGGAGTTCGGTTATACCGCGTTTCCAAGAGAACTTTTCAAAATTCTGGGATAAAAAATATCCTATGTTCTTTCTCAAGGTCGACTCTATCTCTGTACCAAATTTTATTAAAATCAGTTCAGTGGTTTAGGCGTGAAAGCGTAACAGACAGACAGACAGAGTTACTTTCGCATTTATAATATTAGTAGGGATTGTCAAAGTACTTAAATTATCAAAGTACCTACTTTTCTCCTTGGATTCGCAAAAACATAGCGAAAATGTTTATTGTCTGTTAAAATCATAAACAAATATTTATGTAAAAAGTATTTAACCGAAGCATTTACTGATGTATTGTTTTAAGCCTTTAAACCAACCTTCAAAAGCCTTTCCAATAGTTCAAAAAGTTCCTTTATTAATAAATCCGTGAACAATAGTATAGGTTAAGTAACTTGTTAAAAATTTTACGAAGTTTTTTAATTAAAGGAAAAATTATCAAAAAATATCCTATTAATATTTGAGTATTGAATTAACTTTTCATGTCCCTTAAAAAGCTACGTCTCAAATGATAACGGCTTGAACAATAAATGTATTATTAGGCAAATTTTTTAACCAGTCGACATAACGTGAAAGTTTCAGCATTTTTATATATGAAGCGAAGGTTTTGAATACGAAATAGGTACGGATAATTATATATTTTTTCTTTTTTAACCTGAACACACTTTAATCTCATGAAAAACTAAAATTATGAATAAGCAAAACCGAACGATATTTTTTAGGTACTGCATTAATTTTATATGTGAATTTAATAATATAAAATTACCTAACCTTTTCGCCTACTGCTATTTGAAATGATATCAGAGTAATCCTAAGACATTTACATTTCATATGGTCCGTGTCATAAACGACGAGCGTTTGTGCTTAGAGAATTATTACAAAATATTTTATGTATTGGAGGATTTTTCAAAATACTTAATATTTTACAGCAAAACATATTTTACATTACAAAATCCTTTAAAAACAAATTTACTATAAGTCTCATAAACATAGAAATTCTTTATTAGCATGTAAACGATTACATAGTAAAAATACTATACTTCAATAACATACGTAAAAGTAATGTAAATTCAAAGAAGATAGAATTGTCATATCTATACTAATATTATAAAGCTGAAGAGTTTGTTTGATTGTTTGTTTGTTTGTTTGTTTGTTTGTTTGAAAGCGCTAATCTCCGAAACTACTGGTTCGAATTGAATAATTCTTTTTGTGTTGGATAGTCCAGTTATCGAGGAAGGCTGTGGACTATATAACATCACGCTACGACCAATAGGAGCAAAGATATAGTGGTAAATGTGTAAAAAACGGGAGAAATTATTTCATCTTTGAAGCCTTCCGTTGCGTGCGCCGTGAAAACGGTTCAAGATACACAAAAAATATGTATTAAAGAATAATAGCTCTTTTAATGATCTAAAAAACACTCCGCGACAGTATATGTCTATCTTTTAAGATTAACTCACAAAAACCGTTTTTATGGTACCTAATTTGGTCGAAATAATTTGTTTAAGTTGTATCAACATAATAATATTAATCTTTATTCAAATAAACAAATAAATATGTTGTTGGTTAAGAGTACTTCATTGTGAATAAAAAAAACAGGTTTTATCCTGAAAATTCTACGGGAACTCGACCATTCCGAAAACCCCACAAGAACGGGAACTATGTAGGAAGAACCAAAAATCTGCCGTAAGTCACAATTCCACGCGGACGGAGTCGCGGCAAAAGCTAGTTAATATTATAATTATTTTCTTTATCGCCTACCATCCATCGCTTGCATCCAACCACCCACACCCCTAAACAAACCTACAGAAAAACTCAGGTAAGACGTTGAACTCGTGATATCATTTCCATATTACACTGCGAATTATAAATCAACTCACGACTTTTTTTATTACAACACATATAATATTATTAGTAATACTTGACATAAAGCAACTATGAAGTAATTCAATAAATGTTTTATATAAAAAATATATTCATTAAAATGAAATAAAATACTAGGTACTTAGATTAAAATTTAGTTTCAAAAATTATTATATCATTTTTTTTCGTTAAAACAGTTATCGATACTAGTTCGTTATCTTAAAGGATTATCTTTCTATTAAAATTCTTTAAAAAATAGTGATTATTTTTAGTGATAAGAACAATATGAGAAGATATTATATAATATATAAATTAATATAATTTTAAAATGTATGTACATCATATATGTATTATTATAACATTTCTTATATTTTGAAAAGAGTCCCCATTTAAATACAAATTTCAAATATTAGTTATTAATAAATGTTTTTGAAACAAATATACAGTAGGTACATTGAACCGGCTAATTGTAGTAGTTTATTAATTCACTTTAATTATTTCTTAATTCCTTAATTTCGTGGTATTGAAGAAATTTTAAAATAAGGTATTTCGTCTTTTCTCACAATTATAATTTTAACACACAAAGGTAAATAATTTTTATGGAGCGATTGATATTGTGAAAATGTTTTGAGACATACCTATATGGAAATAACACAATATCCTTACCACCAGTTTTTCATACTACATACGGAGCGTCTTTTATTAATAGATCTAATTGAGACTATAATAAGTAAAAATAAGAAATTTTGTGGGACAAAGAAAAAGTGTTTAAGGTACTGATCTCAAATGACAAATAATTCGCCTCATATAACAAACTATGGCCTTAAAATAATCGAGATTATACACATTTATTAATTCAGTACCCTTAAGACTAGTTGGCATAACCAACCATCATACAGACAGTTTCTAGTTAATACGAAGAAGTTTCAGATGTGCCTTTTTAAAAATATTTAACCACTTTGTTCTCTCTTATAGTGAAATTCGTTTCAGTAGAAATAACACGTCATATCAAGATTTACAAAAAGATTTAATTAATTTTAACTTAGCTATGTCATAATTATTAATTAATATGAACTTTATCATCATTAATTATTAATAAAAAAAACTTTCGCATTTGTAAAATGGGTAAAATGTTTCCTTTGCTTACATATCTGGATAGGTAGAGCATATCCAAAACTATTAATCATCGCTTTGCAAGTAATAATCGCATAAAAATATTCATATTTGTACTTAAAAATTTCGCTTGTCGCTTATGTTATGAAAATAGCACTTTTCTGAAATTTCACAAGTACCTAACATCTAGTTCCATACAAAACTCGACATAGTCGAACTAAAATGTTAGATTACATAGGCATCTCCTTAAATACATTGCTTGACTTGAAAAAAATATTCAAAAATATACCAGCTTATTTAGTAGTACCTTTAAGACTAGTTGGCATAATCAGACTTCATACAGATGGTTTCTAGTTTATACGAATTTATATTAGTTTGCGACAGTATGAACGTAGCCATACGAATGAAAATCCTGAGCCTCTGTATTGAATTTAACGAAAAAAAGCTTAGTAAATTATCAAAGTTATTTAACTATTCATTGCAGATGCGCCAGACGTTGTATTAAAATTATAGGACAGAATATAAAGTATATAATGGATTTGCTTAAAAATGCTTAAAATTTGTAATAAATTAATAATTATTAAGAAAAAACTAGATTTCAGCATAGAATCTTCCACAAATTTTTGGCGTACTTTCAATCTAAGGTTTGTTTATTTAATTTTAAAATGTATGTGGATACCCAAGGTTTAATAAAATGCTCGCTGATAAGGATTCTTTGTACTGTCAAAAACATAGAGTCGACCTTGATCTGTTATCTTATCTAACGAGATATGATATCACTATGATCTTAAAAAGTAGAATCTAATATA